ATAGTATAATAATAATCAGAACTGAACAAAGAAAGTAATAGACAATATCCAAACAACGCTCTTTTGCCAGTGTATGAAATTTTTTTAAACAAAGTTACTGCAATACATAAATTAGGAATTAATGATGTAATTCAACTTAAAAGGTTGTTTCATGTGTTATAATATGTGATTGGAGGTCTTATGTTTTCCTGATCTTTTTGTGTAATAAATGAATTAAAAGAAACCTATGCCACATCAAAATCACTTTTCTTTTTATGTCCTCTTGCGTGATGGACTTCTTGACTTCATTTCTATGACTGAGCAATATCTCAGTTACATCTACAGATCATGGTTAGGTCCTACCTATCTTTCCATTGTCTGCCCAACATTTGCCTAGCTGCCACTAGCAAAAACCTTTTTATGTCTTTATGTAGCATAGATTCTATTTTGTTAGCAGATTATAGAAGGCTATTTCATTATTAACTTGAAGAAGTAAACCATGCTTTTATTTATCAGTGATCAGATAGTTATGTTGAAATTCCTTCTGATTGTACAGAGTACCTTTAGCAGGATTGTGGATTTCTGTGAAGGCATACTGGCCTAAATGGGGACTATAAATAGATGCAAAGCTGAAGTTCTGTTCACGCCTATTACATAAATAAATCTGGCTCTCGGGTCTGTAAATTTTGCTTGTCCAATGAAAGGCAGATAAGCACTGATGAGAATAGCAGTCTCATGGGTCTTGGAGCACAGTATTGTTGGGTTAACTCTCAATGGTAAATGAGATGTTCACTTCTGCATTTCCTGAAGAGAGATAACATTAGGGCTGCAACTCTTCAATAGGTTGATGACTCTATACCTTTTATGTACTGTACCAAGATTTCTTGCATTTAAAGTTAAACATATCAATTCAAGCATAGTAGGTTAAATACATTTTGTACAGTCTGGCGGATCATAGAGGAAATGTATCTTAATGCAATAATTTTGAAGAGGGGAAAAAACTTTCAACATAAACTCAGTTCTGCCTAGAACTGGCTTGTTGCAAGCAAGGTAATTCACTATGGCATTTGGCACCATTAGCATTGGCAGGGTAAATATAGGGTAGGTAGAAGAATATTAGGAGACTCCTTTTCCTGATGGAAAAACAGCAACACACTCTTGTTTCAGTAAATGTAAGAGATCATTCAGTGGAAACATGTTCAGACCAGCTAATTACACATATCTTATTTAGCCCCTTCATGGATTGCTGCCTTGTCGTGGTGAGGGGGCTTGAGTAATTCAGAGAAGCTATGGGCTATGCCATGCAGGGACACCCAAGACGGACAGGACATAGTGGAGAGTTCTGACTAAATGTGATCCACCTGGAGCAGGACCTAGCAAGCCACTCCAGTATCTTTGCCAAGAAAACTCCATGGACAGAAACAAAAGGCTAAAAGATATGACGCTGGAAGATGAGCCTCCCAGGTCATCCAACATGCTACTGAGGAAGTGCGGAGGACAATTACAAGTAGCTCCAGAGCTAATGAAGTGGTTGGGCCAAAGCCGAAAGGACGCTCAGTTGCAGATGTGCCTGGAAGTGAAAGAAAAGTCCGATACTGCAAAGAAAAATACTGCATAGGAACCTGGAATGTAAGATCTATGAACCTTGGTAAGCAGGATGTGGCCAAATAGGAGATGGCAAGAATAAACATTGACATCCTGGGCGTCAGTGAACTAAAATGTACGGGAATGGGCGAATTCAATTCACACAGTGATCATATCTGCTATTATGGGCAAGAATCCCATAGAAGAAGTGGAGTAGCCCTCACAGTCAGCTGTACTGGGATACAATCTTAAATAAGAGGACGTGATGGTTGGACAGTGTCATTGAAGCGACCAACATGAATCTGACCAAACTCCGGAAGACAGGAGGGCCTGGTGTGCTCTGGTCCATGGGGTTATGAAGAGCCAGACACGACCTAATGACTAAACAACAACAAATCTTATTTATGTTCAAAACATAGGATTCTTTAGATATAACCGGAAAGAGTTGTTTGATCATCACACCTAGTTGTCTGAAGTTTCTTTACTCAGACATTCCCTTTCAGAATTCTTGTCTCTTGATTAATAGAATCATAGAAAAATTGGATTGTAAAGGGCCTATAAGGCCATTAAATCCAACCCCCTGATTAATGCAAGAATCAAAATCAATATACGTATATCTGACAGATGGTTGTCTAATTTACTGTTGAATGCCTCTATCGTCAGAGCACTCATAACCTCCTATGATAATTGTTGTACTGCTCTGACAGTTAGGAAGTTTTTCTTTATATTCCACTGAAATCTTGATTCCTGTAACCTGAGCCCATTAGTGTATGTCCTGCACTCTGGGATGACTGAGAACAGATCATGCCCCTCCTCTGTATTTCAAGTATTTGAAAAGTGCTGTCCCAGCTCCCTTTAATCTTCTTTTCTCAAGGCTAAACTTGCTCAGTTCTTTCATTCTTTCCTCACAGGGCTTTCCAGTCTCCCCATCACCCTTGTTGCCCTCCTCTGAACTTTTTCCAGTTTGTTGGCATCCTTCTAAAAATTTTGGTGTCCAGAATTGGACTTGATGATCCATAGGGTCCTGTCTGGCTCTGCAATTCTATGATGATGATGATGATGATGATTATCATTATCACTACCTTGCTGAAATCCTTGTTGAATTACTGTAGCAGTTCCTTTAGTTTTTCATTCCATTCTGTAGCTGCTTGTATAAGCCATATAGTAATTTTTTTCAGCTTACAGACAAATTCAGGATGCTTTTGGTTGACAAAAAATCCTGATGGTTGTTGCATATGCAGCTCTTCTGTTATTTCTCCATTCAGGAATGCTGTTTTTCCATCAAGATGTTTTACTGGCATTTTTCTTGATGCTGCTAAGCTGAGAAGCGTTCTTATAGTGCTGCATCTTACAACTGGAGCAAAACTTCTTCTTCATCTTCTGCACCTGAGGCTGTTGAAGGCGAGCAGTCCTCCTTGTTGTGGATTTTTCACCCACTATAGATCACTGCCCAAGTGGAAAAGTCAGAAGGACAGCTGCAAATGTATGGAAGCCTTATCCATTTTATTCTCTGTTTGACAAAGACAAGAAACTTGCTGTATAAAAACAACTACAGAAGTTAGGACAAAAGACAAGATCTAAAATCTCTCTCCATTGGCCTTCAAATTCCCTTTATCTCTTGACAAAACCAAACCTACTTGGCACGTCAGGAAAGAGTCTCCTCCAATGAGGAAACAGGCAGACCCCGACGTTGCAGATGTGAACTCTACATGTAGCTTAGCACCTGTGTGAATCAGAGAAAGGGAGTGTGTGCAGTGGTCTTCAATAACGTCCAAGATTAGAAACACAGCAGAAATCACATAACCAGACAAATGGCTCCAGCAAGATATGAAAACCAAGAGAAACTCCATGAGCCTGATCTTGGTATCTGAAAACCCAGTTGAGGTGTTTCCTGTGCTAGTTTTTACCAAAGGACAGACCCTCTGGCCTCAAAGAAGATAACAATTTTATAATGTATGAAAACGTATTTTTTGCCAGTATATCCTTCCTCCTCCTCCTCCTCCTCCTCCTCCTTTAAAGCTGAATTCCCACCAACTGGACCCCAACCCCCAAGTGTGGTGCGTCAGCTCCACTAGGTTTTCTATTCTCAGTTGTATCGTAAGTGCAGTATTTTAATGGATTTTTTTGGGGGGGGGATACAGTGGTGCCTCGCTAGACAATGATAATCCATTCCACTGAAATCACTGTTTAGCGAAATCATTGTCTAGCGAAAAGCATTTCTGCATTGGAATGCATTGAAACCTGTTTAATGCGTTCCAATGGGGAAGAATCGTCATTGTCTAGCAAAGATCGGCCATAGGAAAGCCGCTTTGCGAACCGCCAATCAGCTGTTTAAATAGCTGTCTTGCTAAGCTTAGGTCCCGAAAATACCTGTTTTGCGAGTGCAGAGGGAGCTGTCAAAATCGTCGTCTAGTGAAAATCAGTTTGCGAAGCAGGGACCAAACATTGTCCAGTGAAATTCCCCCATAGGAATCACTGTTTTGCGAATCGTTATAGCGATTGCAAAAAGTCAATGTCTAGCGAAAAAAATGTCATGCAGGGTAAATGTCTAGAGAGGCACAACTGTATTGGATTACATTCATATTCTGCATTTTTCCTTTATTATTTGTATTGTTTTGTCCCTATTTGGGCATTGCTTGTTATGGACAGATTGCTAGCTGAGGGCTGAAATCCAGGTTCGCTGCTCTGCTTGCACAGTGGGAATCCATCAGTGGATTGCGACTAATTAAATGCTTCTTTCTGAGATTTTGGGGTGCTGTCCAAGGCTGTTCTGTGAAGTCTACATCCCTGCTATTTGTTCTGTTTTTAAATGGGTCATTTGGTAATGTATTCAAATTAATCTGGCGGAAATTTTGGAGAAAAAAATGCAAGTGTTGTGTATAGTAGGCTTTATCTCTCTGCTTAAAGGATCTGAAGCTGAAGAAGGGGAGCATGTTTCTCCCGTGTATACTTATCACCGCCGAAGAATTGATGCCTTTGAATTGTGGTGCTGGAGGAGGCTCTTGAGAATCCCCTGGACTGCAAGGAGAACAAACCTATCAGTTCTAAAGGAAATCAACCCTGAATGCTCACTTGAAGGACAGATCCTGAAGCTGAGGCTACAGTACTTTGGCCATCTCATGAGAAGAAAAGAGTCCTTGGAAAAAACCTTGATGTTAGGAAGGTGTGATGGCAAGAGGAGAAGGGCTGTTTTTAAATGGGTCATTTGGTAATGTATTCAAATTAATCTGGCGGAAATTTTGGAGAAAAAAATGCAAGTGTTGTGTATAGTAGGCTTTATCTCTCTGCTTAAAGGATCTGAAGCTGAAGGAGGGGAGCATGTTTCTCCCGTGTATGCTTATCACACTCATAATATGCTGGGGTTCACACAGAAAAGGCTTTGTTAATAAAACATTTATGAAAGCTTCTTTCAAAATGTCTCTCCTTTTGTTTAACAGGTAGAAGTCACTGCTGTGGAGAGACCTGATGGATCACACTGGATGAGGTTGGTTCAAGCAGCTGCCAGCAAGAAAGAGCAGAATTTAGAAGCCTGCTTAAAGAATAGCCAATTGTACTATTGGGTCACAAGGAAAATACTCCGAAATGAGGAACTCCTTGTTTGGTATGAGGAGGAACTTTCTAGGCTTCTGGGATTCAGTGAGATTAAAATCTGCAGGAGATTCCAGAATGGTGAGTATAGAAGGTTACATCAGAAGTTTAATTGGCATTTGTGAGAACTGCTCAGTATTTGCTGCAATATTTCTGAGAATTATCCAATATCTGAGAAATCTGAAAATTGCTCACATAAGTCATCTTAGCTCTGAGCAGTTATTTTCTCCATATACTTGGTCTAAGATTTCTGTATATAGTTGTGGAGGTTTTTTTATGTGTTAAGCTCTAGGGCAATATTTTTTCAGGGCCATTAAGATCTGCTTTCTACTTCTTACATGAGCTCAAGTTAGACAATGAGTAGATAGGTTTACTGTTCAGTTAACCCTTGGAGTTTGAACTTACCATGTGTTGGTATTTTTGTAAATCTGTTCCCATGGGCCAATAAAGTAACATTTGGAAATTAATTTTTAAAAGTAACTTTCCCAGTTACTTGTTATAGTGTTAAAAAGGAATTTGTTGCTGTTACTTGTTCTAGTGTTTAAGAAGTAACTCACGGGGCTGAAACCCAGTAGTAAGTTGCAACTAGAGTAATCTCATTGAATCAGTGGAATTTACAGAGGACTTGACTCACCAAAACCCCACTGATTCCATGGGCCTACTCTAATCGCAACTTACTACTGGATTTCAGCCATGCATAGCATTCCTTGATACACTGTGACTAAAAAAAAAGAAAAACCTTTGCATTGAGGAGCAGGTGGCTTAAAATTTCAAGAAGTCCTGTCAGAATGCATCTAAAAGTGGTCTCAAAGAGTAACTTTAATGGCTAAAGTAACTTCATTCTCACGTTACCATAAAGATGTAACTTCATAATGTTTTTATCATCCCTACCTGCCCCTAACAAAGAATAACTCACAATGGAGCTTTATTACTTATTACAGTGGTGCCTTGCAAGACGATGTTAATTCATTCCGTGAAAATCGTTGTCATATGAAAACATTGTCTTGCAAAACGAAAAAGCCTATTGAAATGCATTGAAACCGGTTCAATGCATTCCAATGGGCTGAAAACTCACCATCCACTAAAGATCCTCCATAGGGTTGGCCATTTTCGCTGCCTGTAAAGCTGGGAATCCATCGTGAAAACACAGCGGGGAGCCATTTTGCACAGCGGGTGGCCATTTTAAAACCGCTGATCAGCTGTTTCAGAAACATCGTTTAGCGGGAAATCGGTTCCTGAAGCAGGGGACTAACCATCGTTAAGCGAATTTTCCCCATAGGAACATTGTTTTACAATTGCAAAACTGATCGCAAAAACTTCATCGTCAAGCGGTTTCGTCGTTTAACGAGGCAATCGTTAAGTGAGGCACCACTGTACTGTTACTTCCAAGCTTTGTAGTAAAGAGTTCTAGGACCTCAAAGATGAACATATTTATTACACACTTAGAGGATTTTATGCACTACATGCCCCAAAGTAAACATATTATTATGCACTACACTGGAAAGGAAGCTGTCCTGCAGAGTGTGGTGACTACTGTTCCAGTCCTTGGCTGCCTGCTTTAGCTGGTATTAGATGTAGGCAAAGCCTTAATTTGAAAATGAAGCACCTCAGGAATTCACCCTGAGGTCCTTCCTAGCACTTCCATCTGAGTTCCTGTCTGTGGAATCAAACATATGCACTTCTAAGATTATTATAAGCCTTGTGGTGCCGTGGTTAAACTGTAGTATTGCAGCCAAAACTCTGCTCACAGTCAGCATTCCATACCAATAGATTCTGACAAATGGGAGGCTGACTCAGCCTTTCATCTTTCCGAGGTCAGTAATATAAGTACCCAGCTCACTGGGGCCAAGGGGCAATGTGTCACCTGTATAATTAAAGATTGTAAACCTCCCCGAGACTGCTTTAAGCGCTATGGATGGTAGCGCTATGGGGTGGTATATAAGCAGCATGCTTTTCTTTGTTTTATTAATCTTAATCTCTTCTTTCTTTTATTTATTGCAAAAGCATATCACAAAAGAAAAAAAGAGCAATGCATAAATTATACATTTCCTTCACAAAACAATTACTGTATTGTAATAACCGTTCCAAAAAGACCTTTCATTTGTTTGGGTAATTGGCCTTTCCTTCCCAATAATGCAAAATCCAAAAGATCTTGCGAGATATCAGCAAAATTGCTCTCCTTTCACAAGCCCTTTTCAAACCCTTCTGTCACGTCAACTGAGTAATTACTAGTTCTAAAATGTCATTGTACCATTCAGTTGTTTGAAACATTAGATTTCCAATTTTTCATTATCGCTAACCTGACTGCCATACTCATATTTGTAGTTAACTCATGTAATTAATGCCACCCAATCCCATTTTTTAAAATAAAAAAGATAATAATGCAATTTTGGAAAAAATTCTAATGTAACTTTTTCAAATTTTCCCATTCCTTTAAATACCAGTTTCCAAAATGTCAATACTGATTCACACTCCCACCACATATGGAAATAATTACCTATATCCTGACCACGTCTCCAACATAATATAGTACATTAGAAACCATAATATTTAATTTCACTGGTATCAAATATCATCTCCAGATCAGTTTATAGAATTTTTTTTGTTCTCACAGACATGATCTTTAAAATTATTTCCTCAAATTCTCCTGTATGAGCTTTTATATGACCTGTAACTCCGGATGCATGATACATGTTAACAACGTATCATCCACAAATAAATTATTCTTAAACATTTTGGCCAATATCAAAATGTTATTCCTAGTAGCAGTTCCAACAATTCTAAAACTGAATCAAATAATACTGGGCAAAGGGCAGGCACAGCTTTGTGTTGTACCCCAGCCTTGAGAAATTTCTTCTGGCACTCCATCATTCACTAATAATGTAGCAAAATTTTCAGGATGTAATTGATGGACCATACCTATAAATCATAGGCCAAATCCAAGCTTTTATGAACATTTTCTATTAACATTTCTTTAACCTTTGCATTAGTTCCATATGCATATTCATGCCACATTCCTGAAGGACAGATTCCTATTTTTATAATCATTCCCATGGCTGAGAAACAGTGGCGTTGCTTGTCTTTGCTTTGAAAGAAGTGCACAGATATCTATGCCAGAACCATTTTTTAGGGAGGATGTCTGAAGACCTGACAAGTGATGAAGTTCTAGTATTCAAAGAATTAAAGCATGAAATTGCTTATTTCTTGACAAAGTATGCAGCGGTAAAAAAAATGGCTTCCTTGCTAAAGGATTGGAAAGTAGCCGACATAATTTAGATTTTTCTTACAGACATGGTGAAGGTGAAGAATGCCAGGTCAGAAAGCCTATAATCCAGAATGAGTAAATCAAAAGAAAGCATTTAAAAATATATAATTACTAATTATACAGAAAAACAACACTGAATCAGTGTGCTTTCTGCAAATGCATTTTTCACCTAAACATTTGTAATTTTTAAAATACTTTTAATAATCACCTGGATAGGTGCCATGAAGTCCATATTATATCTACAAGACAATCATATGAATGTTTAGTCAGATATAACGCCTAGTATGTTCAGTGGAATTCGCTTCCAGGAAAGGCTTGCACTGATGGACTTTAAAACCATTTGACAAAGTTTGTCACCACATAATCCTGGTCATCTCAGCAGTCTTGGGATAGGATCCTTTACGGATCAGGTAATGGGAAAAGTACAAATAGATAAAGTACAGAAAATAAGATTTTTTTCAAAATGGGGTTGCATAGGGAGTTAGTGTTCTGGCTAGGATTTTTTTAAAGTATTTTATTATTTTTTATGACATACATATTTACAACAGACAACAACAGAAATACCTACAAAACCTACAAAACAATAACACATGAAACTAGCAAAACATGCAAGACTAACAAAACAAATGTATAGGCGGGGAGGTATTCCTCATACCAGCTTATCTATTATATAGATTCTGACTACAGAAGTAATATATCCGTGTGCATCTGCACATGTTATATTCCACATCACTATTTTATATATCTAATTAAGCATCTGAACTTCCTAAATTTATAATAATTTTTTAAAAATCCTCTCATCTGCATTTCCATCCATCTGTCTCTCATCACATCCATCATAATAGGCTAGGATTTTTTTAAATTTCATGATAAATTAGCTGGAGTTGGAGGTATGTTGTAGGCATCAAATTATTGTGGATGGTGTAAACTCCCATGTATTGTAAAGAGCTCCAGAAAAATCTCTCCATCCTGGGCAAGCAGGTTACATAACGGTAAATGAGTTTCAATATAAGTGTAAAGTGATGCACCCTAGAGAGTAAATTCATCATAACTTCATTGATCCTATCTAGTGATGAGATCTATTTTGCTCGTTAACTGACCAGGAATGTGATCTTGGGTAGTCAATGAATACATCAGTTTGGCATGCTGTAGCAGGAAGTCTATCAGTGGCTATCAGGCGTTATAACTAATGAGAACCAGCATCCTGCTAAAAACAGGATGCCAATGAATATCAACCATCCCTCCCAAGGGAGGAGAGAGAGAGCCTGCATTCCCTGCTGGTGAGCTTCTTGGCAGCATGTATATGGACCCCTTGCAAAACAGGATGTTGGAACAGAGACCTTTGGTCTGATTCAGAAGCGCTCTTGTTCTGTTCTTGTGAATTGCTCACTACATGTAAGCACTGCCTGTAGTACCACCACCCTCCCCTCTTTTATTCAACTGCTGATAACTACCCACTTCCTTCCTTCCTAGAGCTGGATTGCCCAAACTGCAAATGGGAGCACGCATGTCTCTCTCAAGCCTGCTTCTTCAGCTTCCCAGAGAACAGCACCCAGCTCTGGAGAAAACTTTCCGTCCCAAAGATGGTAAAGGACAAATCAATGGAACAACCCACACATTCCTGTAGTCTGGATAGAGACCTGGAGTTCAGAGCGACCACTTGGAAAGATGGTTCCTGTAGAGAGAGGAGGAGGAACCATGATGAAATGGAGAGCAGTAGTAAGAGCAGGAAATCTGTGTTGCTGGAGAAAACAAACTATCTGCACGAAGAACAGCCCAGGGACAAAGGAATGGCCCAGCACCTGTTAGGAGGACCCTTCTGGAAGTTCGGTACAGTGAAACAGATGGCTCTGAAGAAGGATGTACTGGAACAGAAAGAGAGTGCATTCACTGAAGTGAAGAGAATGAAGGTGATAATTGAGAATTCTAAGAAGGCGGAAGATGGAACAGGAGGGATTTTCTTAGGCAAAAATATAGTTCAGTGTTCGCCAGGCAGTGCTTTTTCCTTCGTATGGCCCACCAGAGCTCCTGGGGAGCCCAAGAGTGCGTTCAGCAAGCCAGTGAAAGCCTTGGTGGACACAACAGCAGCGGTTGCCTCTCGTCTGAGTGACCCAATGAAAGGCCCAGGAAAGCTGTCGGGATGCCTCAGTGCCGCTGACCTTGTGCAATACAGAAGCCTTCTGACTTCCAAATTCCTTGCGAGTGATTTAAACAACTCTCGACTGCTGCAGACCACTTTCCTTCAGAACAGCCCTTTCCTTTATCCTTCAGAGATGTGGTCCAGACAGATGAAAGAGCCAAGGCAGACCACACCAACCTCCACCTCTTCCTCTCCTACCCTGACTGTGTTGCCTCCCACCTTTACTTCCTTTGGGGTCGCATCCCAGAACTGGTGTGCAAAGTGTAACCTCTCCTTCCGAATGACGTCTGACCTCGTACTTCACATGCGCTCCCACCACAAAAAGGAGGGTCCTTCGCCAGAGTCCCATGGCAAAAGGAGGCAGGAAGAAAAACTGTCGTGTCCTGTCTGCCAGGAATATTTTCGGGAACGGCATCATTTATCTCGACATATGACTTCCCATAATTAGACCTGTAGTTCTTTATCTGCAGTATATGTATGCCTGTGTGCATGCATGTGTTTGTGCATGTGTTCAGCTATTTGCCTTTATTTTTCTTCCAAAATCTTCTGAGAGATGACTATTTGCAGTTATTTGTGTTGTTATTTTCAGTGGGAAAAATGTATTTACAAGACTTCTAGCCAGCTATAAATCCTTGAAAGTAAAATTCTATGGTTCAGAAAACAGTTTAAAACATGAGGTAATACGAAGATGTGTTAATCTGGAAGGTTGTCTACGTATGTGAGAATTTTTAATGCCTCTAACTAAACCTTGGAAAACCAGTGTGGCCTCGTAAGAAACACAGCCAGCTCTACTGAACATAAGCATGTGTGAACACCTGACATTTTATGTCTGTTAGAAGGAGTGATTGATGTGTATGAGACAATGGTGGTTGATGTCCACTGGGCCTGGGTGGGGCAGAGGGTCTCCATATATGGAACTACCTAGAATTACTGCTATACTCATCCTTTTCACTTGTGAAGACCCTGTGTAGGCTTAAGTAAATCATAAACCCAATAGTTAATTCAGACTAAAGTAAAGCCATTAAATCATTGGGATTCTGAAGTCACAGCCTCTATAAATTCCATTGGTCCTACTCTGATTTGGCCTAACCACTGGGTTTATGCTGATCTTGGTGGAGATGCATGAGTTACTGCCAAACCTGGTTCCGTGCAAAAGAAGTTTCTCTTCACAAATCCTTGAAGTGTGGATGGGGAACTTGTGGTCTTCCAGATATTGATAAACTCTCACAATCCCTCACCAGGGGCCAAGTGAGACGGCTCTGGTAGACACTGGAGCCCAGTTACCATGGAGGAGCAACAGTCTCTCCAGTCCTGCCTCATGGCATCCCAGACCTCTTTATATCCAGCCTTTATTTTGGAAGGGGAGCTTGGTTGCAGCAAAACTCAGCATGGAAAAAGGTGTCATGGAGCAGAAGGAAGAAAGGTAAGGTAAGGTATTTGGAGAAGCCCACATTTTTCATGTGGGCTGAAAAGCAGTATTGGTTCTCCACAACAGCACATGGGCCACTCCGGTCCTTCAGCTAAATGCACCACTTATTGAGCAAGGCATTCAGACTTGGGGGGAAATGGGAGTGGGGGAAAGACAGAGCTGGGCATGTTGGCTGGAAGATTCTGGAAGCTGAAGTCTAACAAGTAATACTTCCAAGCTCTCAACAGTCAAACCTCTCACCATCTTTCTCTTTGGAAATGTGTCCTAGTAATTAAGCAGGTTGAGAAGCACTTTGGCTGTGTAATCTGTTTTGTGCTGCTGTTTTTCTTTCCAGATTCTCATCTCATTTTGGGATGCACACAAGTAAAGATAAACCCCTGGTCTCTCTCACATTTACATACCCCTCACCTCCATGTGTGCTGACTGTCAGTCTGGGCTTTGCCCTCTGCTTTTTCTCCCATGTTCTGATCAGAGCAAGAGAAAACAAAACAAAGACTTGTCGGCAGCTGTTAGATGCTCTGTGCGGATGCTTGCTTTTGCTACAGGAAAGATCAGAGTCTATTCAAAACCTTCCCTGATGCCCAGGACCCGAGAATCCCAAATGAGCTGGACCGAACATGACAGTGAAGCATAGCAGTGCCTCCGACACTCTGCTTCACTGCTTTTGAAACACTGTCTTTTCCGTATTTATCTATGGGGGAATGTTATTAGCATGTCTGGCCAGGACATATGTTCAAATTCCTACCCCACTCTGAAAGAAGTAAGTGCAGAGGAAACAGACAGAGAACCCTAGGGAAGCAATGCTGCAGCACATATTTTCTTTCAGAGGGAGCCAAACTTAATCGGCTTCGTGCATGTGTGGTGGTTTACAGAGGGAAATGCTGCCCTCACTGTGGTGATTCCACACTGTACAGTATATACATCTGCATTTAGATATGTCTTGGTATTTATGGTGAGTGGGATTTGATTGGCATTGGTAGTTGAAATGTGTGCCAGGAGAGTATGTTAAAACAGTTGGAAGGAGAAGTAGAATATGTGTGAAGTGAACTGTGTGTAAATTATCTGATATGTTGCTCTTATATGTATAAGGAGTTTTGTGTGAGGGACAGAGCTGTTTAGTTTAACTTTGAGTTAGAGACAGAGAGAACTACAAGTAAACTCTGAGCCTAAAAGAGAGAGTTGTGATATAGTTAAGAGCTGTGCTGAGGGAAGTCTGTTTTGTGAAGAAGCTATGGGAACACAGGCTGAAATCCTGTTGCACAGCTCCAAGGAGGATGACATCATCAGCCTTTGGGAGCAATAAAAAGCCTCCAAGGTTTCAGAGATCCCTAGGGATACCCTTGCTCTTGGGCAGCCTCTGAGAACTAAGGTTTCAGAGATCCCTAGGGATACCCTTGGGCAGCCTCTGAGAACTGTGGAACAGGAAGGAGGAGGATTCAAAGCAGGAAAATTGCTACCAGTAGTAGTCCTGGCAGCAGGATCAGGACCGACAGTGGCAGTTTTCTGACTTTGAATCATTTTCCCTCTTGTTCTGTGGCTCATGAAGGATACCCAAGGATGACAGGGATCCTTAGGGATGCCTGAAACCTAGAAGGGGGGCTCTAGGAAGCTTTTTATTGCTACCAAATGGCTGTGGCACAGCTACGACCAATGATGTCATCCTTGTGGCATGGCACAGCTCTGCCAACAGGATTTGAGCCACTGTGTGTTTTCATTGGAACCTGTAAAAAGCAAGCATCCATCTATACATACTGTATGTATAAAGAATATTTTATGGTTAAAGTGCAAAGAAAAAGTCAAGGAAATGAGATTTCAGAATTTGACAGCATGTAATATTGAATATTCTTTTTGCAATAAACTTCTTTTTGGTTTACAAATACTGTTTAGTACTTTTTGAACATAGTTACAAGATATACTATACATACCACTGACTTACACTGGGGTACAGATTCAAAGTTGTGTCACCAAGGTAACATAAGACTACGTATGTGTGGGTGGTTCAGCAAATGTGTTTTTATTCCCCCTTTTAAAGAGGGGAGTGTAAATTCAGCCCTTAGTTCTGGCATTCCACACAATGCAAGCCCTGGTGCAGGTTTTAAAAATGCAGATGGGAACCATTTTTAAAATGGCACCAGCATTTCTATCCTGGCCAGCCAGTAGCAGGAAGTTTGGCCAGCTAGTGACAGTGCCAAGTCAGGACTGGACATGTAGCAACAACAGAGCTTCTGGAGCTGCCCCTCAAGCATGAACAGCATCACTGCCCAGCTACTGTTGGGGAGGCTTCCTGGTCACTTCAGCATTGGCTGCCTGACAACACTGTTTCTACTTCAGAGGAGCAGTTCCAATGGCTTCTTTTTCCCCACAGGGTGAGTGGGTGTCCTGACCCAGGTGCTGTCAGTATCAGTGGGAGGCATCTCAGTGCCAGCCCATCCGTGGGCTGCTCCACATCCTACGGAGGATTCACACGCAAGCAGGACAGGAGGTGGCATGCCTGTTTTCAGATTACCTACAGTTAAAAAAAAACTCCTTACTTCAGGTTATCTGAATTGTGTAATTCCTGTCATGGAAGGCTCAGAAAGCGCACCAGTCAGAAGGCTAGACAAGAAAATTACTGTGTTGCTTCAGCAAGATCAGAAAAGCAATAAGAAAGCTTCATCCAGATGCAGCCATCTCTAGTGCTATCTCGTGGCTACGCTATGTAACTACATTATGTTTCCCACCTTTTCTTGAAAGAAAGAAACAGATTCGCAGTACTGAAGATTTTGTGACAGCAGCAGTTATGTATGTTTATTTATGCACAACATCACACAATTCAGCCTCCTCATTAAATGCCCTAAAAAATTAGTCACCATTTTTCCAGGTTTCTGAGCTTTGACAGAAGCAGGCCCAGGCCTTGTTTGTCACGGGGACAAAAGGAACACCCAGGCTTCTTGCTGTGTATTCGTGGGGAGATCCAAAATGAGGTGCCTCCTCCACAGGTATATATTCCCATCCATTTTAAGAAAGGTAGTAATTCTTTCCACAATGCAATCCTGGCATTCTCTGCTGGTCTTTCAAGCTTCTCAGGTGTTCTGAAAATTCCCCCCCACCTTGATTTTAATCTGGGATGGGCAGGATGGCAGCTGAAGAGTGGACGCACATTTGATGTCTCATTATTAGCTGCTAAAATGCTAGGGAGGTAATTGATTTTATCAACTGGGATGTTTTCAGGTATCAAGTAACGACTCTTCAGCTATTACTGAGTGCTACTCCTACCTGTTTTGCATGAGTTGATATATACCAAACCAGGCTGGCTTATTTCACCTGTGAAATAGCATAGGGCCAAGATTGTAGTTTGTGTTCATAGTTAATGTTTGTGGCTGTGTGTCCCAACTGCTTCCCAATAGCTTTGGAAGAGTATTGTTCATCGCAGAGACTTTTTGCTTTGTATTTTGGTAAACCTTATAAGTCAGCATATGATCAAAGTAACACGTAGGTATTAGGAACAAAACAATGATCTAGCTGAAACTTCTAAAGTTTCTAAAAAAAAGGTGAATTAGAACTGTTGTCTCAGAAGTGAGTGCCCTGAGGCACTGAACTAAAAAATTATCTAAAACATTTAGATAAATCTAGCAATGGCCAAATAACATTTTTGCCCAGGACAGTATGTAGGCTGCATTTATCATGGAAGATCACTGGATTTTTGCCCAGGACAGTATGTAGGCTGCAGTTATCATGGAAGATCACTGTTTTTTAAAAAAAATATTCTTAAGGGTCAATTCAAGCGATCACCTTCTCCTTTGTTTTGTATTCTTAATGGTCAATTAAAGCGATCACCTTCTCCTTCATTTATATTGTTTCCATGACCATGTGGTGTTTTCCTGATGTTTCCTTAATCCAGACATGGTAGAGGTACTCCTGGTCAATCAGATGGCCGATGAGGCAATAGGGATACAACCTGTGCTGGATGGGGTTACACTCCCCCTGAAAACTTGGATTCGCAGCTTGGGTATACTCCTGGATTCACCCCTGAGCCAGGATGCCCAGGTTTCGCCACTGGCCAGGAGTGCATTTGCACAGTTAAAACTGGTGCACCGTGTCCATTCCTCGAGAGGTCTGATTTGGCTACAGTGACACATCCTGCTTGGATTACTGTAACATGCTCTATGTGGGGCTGCCTTTGAAGATGGTTCAGAAACTTCAGTTTATGCAAAATTCAGCAGCCAGACTACTGACCGGGGCTAGTTATAGGCAGCCTATAATGCCCCTGTTACAACAACTGTACTGGCTACCCATCCATTTCCAGTCCCATTTCAAAGTACTGGTCATTCCCTATAAAGTCGACAGTGCTTGGGTCCAGGCAATCTGAAATACTCTTTCTCCCCATCTGAGTTTTCCCGGCGTTTGAGATTGTCAGAGGAGGCCCTCCTGTCATTTCCATTGCCAGCACAGGGATGGCTGATGGGGACATGAGAGAGGGCCTTCTCTGTGGCAGCTCCCAGGTTGTGGAACGCTTTCCCTCAGGAGATCAGGCTCGCCCCCTCCCTTTTATCCTTCCATCAACAGCTCACGACCCACCTCTTCAGGCAGGCTTTTAAGAATCATGATTGAATCCCTGAATATTTATTTATTTATTTATTTTATTTTATTTATATCCCGCCTATCTGGTCGTGTTAGGACCACTCTAGGCGGCTAACAGCATAAAAATAATACAATAATATACATATCTTCTTAGAGTTAATGATAGTTTTTAATGTCTGCTTGCTTTTCATTATTCAACTATATATTTATTGTTATATTGTTTAATTGTTTTTTAATCTTTAACTTGTTATTTTTAATTCTATTAAATATTGTGAGCCACCTCAAATCCCCTTAGAGAAAGGTGGCATATAACTAAAACATATATATCCTGCTTTTGGCCACAGAAATAACATAAGCAATATAAAGTTTCCTGCAATTCAAATTATTATTGTTTGTTATTCTGTTCTCATGTCAAATTGAAACAGATTATGCAACATATAAAATATTTAGCCAAATTCAAAATATTCTCAAGTATCTTAGTTTAAATAAGCAGCATACTAAAATATATCTAAAAATTGCATTTGAATCTTAAACACCTCTTGGATTTCTGAATAATTTGATATTTTGATCTTAAAAAAGGGAAACAAGGAATACTGAACTGATTTTAGAAGTTAACATGGAGAAGTAAATCCATTTGAATGTCACTAAATGCTTTAATAGCCAGTGCTTTGATGAACCATGGGTGCATCAGTGTTAATGTAAGATCTGTAAATCTAAAGGCAGAATGCAGTTTGGAAAGCTTGAATGGCTCTTTCTCTTTTTATCCATATCAGAGCACTAAAAATTATGGATGTATATTAAAGATATTACTTGATCATTCCTTTACACATGCAGTATGAGCAAACCAGTTATATATATTCAACAAGAATGACACATACTTGAAGGCAGGAAAAATATGCTTTTGGAGAGAGGAAGACTAAAGGTCGAGTTACTTTTAAAATTAGTTTTATTTTTCTGTGACAATACCATAATGGCCAGAATTCTACTGGTGTTTGCGCAATGTTTGTACAACTTCCCATGGCTAATTAAGGCTAAATGATAGGTGCCAGAGTTTGTCTCAGTTGTGTGCCCAGTCACATGACTGATTGCATGACGGAGGTGTGCCCTGGCATCTAATCAATCAGCCATGGCAAGTTATCAAACCTTTTGTGAAAACCAGTAAGATTTTGGGCATAGTTTCTATGTTCAAATTAAAATTCTTGGCTTCAGTGCCACCTTCATATAAAAATAAAGAGCTGGATTACAATGCTATATCCACTAACCTAGGTGCAGGTGCTTTCGAACCCAATAGTCCCTAATTCTAAATAGGCATATATAGAAATGAACTATCAATCTAATTTGAATTTTAGACCAGACAATATAATTAGTACATCTTTAAAAGCAGAGTTCCAAGAATTGATAATAAAAGATGCTTGACTGTCTTAGCATGGACATTTTGCAATTAACCTGTGTTTGTTTTCCTGTACTGTATTTGCAAGTCTAATCACATTTTTTAGAAATTACCTGGAGGGAAAACATCCAGGAGAAACCTTCAGCCGCTCTCAAACCAAAAGAACTGACAGGAGCTAAGGCCCTGCATGTGGACTTACACATAAGCAAAAACATGCAACCCTCTTCCTAATGTGTGACCAATTAGCTTTCGTTTAACCATCTATACAAAGAGGCAGAGATGCAAAACCTGAAATCAATATTAACTGCCCATGTCTCTTTGAAGAAACAGTTACTCAAAGCTGCTCTTTCTTACACTTGGAGAATTGGGCAGTGGTGGTGATGGCTGAGGAAATAACCACAATCTTCAGTTTGCAACCTGATTCTAAAAAATGATTTTAAAAGCCAGGATTTGCAGCACAGTTGAAAGTGTGATTACTCACAAGTAAAAGCTGCAATCCACTCACCCTGTGCTCACTGTTTTAAAATGGCTACACATGTAAACATATAAAAATGCTAAAAAGTTGCTGAACGGATAAAATCATGAAGCACAGGGCAAGGGGAAAGGAAAATATTGTCTGCTTAATTATGTTACGCCAACAATGTGGTGTTTATTATATTCGCGAAGGCTTTCACGGCCGGGATCTAATGGTTGTTCTAGGTTTTTCAGGCTCTTTGGCCGTGTTCTGAAGGTTGTTCTTCCTAACGTTTCGCCAGTCTCTGTGGCCGGCATCTTCAGAGGACAGCAACCTGTGTCCTCTGAAGAATGTGGTGTTTGATCATTATTGTTCTCAAGAAGAGTAATACACCCTGGAAGTGTGGACAACGTATGGAAATTCCACTTGGAGCAGACAGCAAAAAAGCAGTGGTTGACAGAACTAGGGGTTCTCTTCATCTGGAATTATCTTTGACAGAAACCACTGTCACACAGCCACAAATCGTCAGCTGTCTGCCTGGAATTTGAGTTAAAGAAGAGTTTCTCAGGGGATGAAATACAATCGCTCAAAAAACCTGGCCTCCCAACCCTTATAGCCCTCCAGGATTCTGAGGAAATTTCATCAAATCCCCTTGTTTCAGTCTCCATTTTTTTTCATTTCTTAAAACAGTCATTAGAGAGTGCAAGGAACCTGTTTTAGAAATACCCCGTTTTTGTAAGATACTTTTGGAGTACTGATCATGGGAATGACCCTGCAAGGTGCAGGGAAGAGTTCTTGTGGTCCTGAGTTTGTTTATCCCTTGCTTTAAGCCATAGGCAGGGGTGAGAAACATCCAGAACTCTGAAGACCTCACATATTCCACTGAAGCCATTTCCCCTCCACCATGTGATCCCTTTGGCCTGAGAAATGGGAACTGAATTGAGAGAAACCATGACCTCTGAGTCCAGTAATTTTTCCACCATGTGATTCTTTAAGCAACTAGGCTGAGAGGCTATCCTTTCTCTGAGCCCAATTTTGATTCTTCAGTTGTGAAACATAAATAAGTACCTACTTGTAGATACGATACCCAGCATAGTACAGGACAGAACAATACTACTCAAAATTGATTTGCAGGTCTGAATGTTTACTGGTACAATATTTAACACTGACCTGGTGATGCTCCAGGTCAAAAAGATATTGTACAGAATTATCTTCTTTGAGTCCTGAACTACATTTGCTTCACAGGTTCCGTGTTTGTACACTTCACTGTGATGACTTTTCATCTGATTTTTACCTGACCTAGTGTGCAAAGCCTTTCAGGTTACTCTGATGTGGCTCATTCAGGAATTAGTGTTTCCTTACTTGATTGCTTAACATGTACAAGATAACATGAACTTACTCACAAATGGATGAAGAAGATAAAGGGGGGGGGTCACTCTAGAAAGGTACATTCTATTGTATATGGCTGGTAAATTTACACCTCCATGGAAAAGTCTTTATCTGTAAATAGAAAATAATATAACCAATTAAGAACTTTTCAAACTGTTTCAGCTATCCATTACCATCCACCTTACTTATGTGCATTTGAGTGAATTCAGCCATTTTGTCTCCAAAATAAGATTTGAGTGTAGGGAGTGAGTCCTCATCTCTTTTCTTTTCCTTGTGTGTTTGGAGGTTTTGCCTAAGAATTGCAACTGGAGAATTATTGCAGAGACCTGCAACAGATCTGCAGAATCAAAGCTCACCTCCCATCCAGTGGCAACAAGCGATCAATAACTTGAACATCTTTCTTTCCTTGCTTTTTCTTGCCCTGCCTCCAGGAAGACTTTCTTTTGTTCTCTGAAACTAGCTGGAACTGTGGAGGTGTGTACGGAGTACTTCTTTTGCTTTGATGAGTGCCACCTCACTGGGAACCGCCATGTGAGGACTCACTCCCACACCCTCCCAGGCATCATCAGTAGAAATGACTGATCTAGAGACAGGGATGGTGATATAGAGATTAGTGCCATCGACGTGGTAGGTCTGAGGTGAGTGGCATCCCCCACTGGTCTTCTGTCCAATGATGAAGGCTCTACCCAATCTCTTCATGATGGACACAAATTCTTCAGCAGCACCGGCAGTCACAGAGCTGGTCAGAATGACTAGGCCCTTATTGAAGCCATATCTCATGCCTTTAAGAAACAAGACAGCAAGCAGCAAGTCAGAACATTTGTTTCCACTAGAAGCTAGAAAATAAGTATTTATTTATTTATTTATTTATTTATTTATTTATTTATTTATTCTTCGGACAAAACGCTGGCTGTATGGTTTGGAAACTCCCGCCTATCTGGTCAGGTCAGGACCACTCTAGGTGGCTAACAACATAAAATTATACAAGAGGTATATATCTATAAAAATAATTTTTAAATAGCAAAACATTAAACAAGGTAGGGGAGACAATAGGAGGGAAGAAAGGACGTCGAAAAAAATGGCGAATCCTCACCTTCCTTTCACATAATCAGTTAGATCCAGATTTTTGTCAGAATATGTTTATTAATTATAGGGATGCGAAACCTTTCACTTTTTTTGGCTGAGATGTACTGCCAACACAGAAAGGTAGGCTTTGAGGATTCTCCAGTCACATGGGAGTTTCACCTTCTGAGCAAGGAAGACAGAGCAACTTAAAAACCAAGTGTTTCCCTCACCATTTTGTTCTGTACCAATTTGTGCAAAATAGCTGTAGCTTCTTTTCTCTTTGTAAAGCTAAACACACAAACATTGGAAGAACAGAAGGGCAGGCCAGTTGCTGACAAGCTTGCTAATAAGCCAGTGCATTTTTAATAGTTTGTGCAAAGAAGACACCACTTGAATTTTGCAGATATATACAAATGCACAAAAATCAGTCTCACAACACACAAATTCTTTGCAAGATTATAGGGAAAAAAATCTCACCATCTTGCAGGCAAGGAAAAAGTATTCGCACTTTCTAATTTGGTGTGAAGAAGAGACAAGGGAAGACTTACAACCCACTTTAGTAAGACATACATTAGTGACAAATGTATATCCTATTGATTATAAAGGGCCAACTCTAAGCATGAATAACTCTGTATTAATTAAAGGCCAACTCTAAGCATGAATAACTCTGTATCTAGTCCAATGTTTTAATTTTAAAGGTGCATTGTAGTTTTCTTGCTCTTACCTTGCCTGTTCCTATTCCTTCCATTCTCTGGACATAAAGTGAAAACTCAAATATACCACACACCACGATTTGGGTGCACCTTGCAAAGTGAATTAAAAGGAAACTGCTGGGTAGGAGACCAGGAATGGGCAATGTTTGCTACACATAGGTTGCCAAAAGGCGAGAAGAATAAAAGTGGAACTGGCTTGAAATCAGGGCTGCGATTTATTTAAAAAAAAACAGGCTTCCAAGATACAGCTTACATTGTTTTCTGCTGGGGAAGATATATTTTGGCATGGAGCGAGGAAGCTGGAGTTGCAAAATAGCTTTTGGCCCCCACACATGGGGTCCTCTTCAGCTACTTCTGCACTACACTGAATGGCCCAAGATGGTGTTTAAGTGCTGCAATTAATTGTTGGCAAGAGTGTTTTAATTAGTTTGCCTAAACCACATATAGGACGATGCTTTTGTCTGTTTCTTATTCAGAACCGTTTGTCAGTGGCATATGCCTTGAATATATTAGGCTAGTATGAAACCCACAGCCTTCTGATGCAGATACAGGAAAATGTATTGACACCCACAAATCCACAATATAATTATCATCACCTGTAAGCTGAGAATGAGTCCACATGTCAGTGATTGTATCATTTGGCCTGTTGTAGACTTTGTCCAGAAGAATGTGTTGTCCTTCATCAAAAAAGTAGGAGCACAGAGCAGCTACAGCGGATGTAGGGCCGCCTATATTGTATCTGTTTAGACATTTAGGGATGGGAATAACCAAATTATGTTCAATTCAAACAAGCAAGGAGGCAGACATATATTCCAACATGTGGAGAAGGTGGTTTGAGCTCAAATATTCAGTGAAGTGGCGAGTCACTTTTAGGGCACTGAAGCAATTGCCCTGGAGCTCAAACTTGGAAGCAGATAGCAGAAATTTTATAACCTATATTAATAGATGTTCAGTGTCGTTGGTTTCCCCTTTGCCCTCAAAGCCAGTGAACTTGGGTTAACAGAGAACATAGTTATATCCCATAGGCATAATGGGAACATCACAAAACAAACTCTGCTCTGTATTGGTAAGAACCAAAGATTGGAAGTTCGTTACAAATAAATAACAGGAATTCTTTCCCCCCAATGTTGGTGTTGTAGGTATTGAGACAACAATGCCTGAAATCCTGTTGGGAGTTGCGAGCTGAGGCAAAATCACTGAAAAAACAAACCCGAGTCAAGTCACTGGTGTGACTTGAGACTGACTTGACAGCATGTCTCCTGACTCAAGTCCCTATCCTTGCCAGACGAGATCATCTGCCTTACGTAGCATAAATGTGTGCCAACAGGATTTCAGCCAATGAAATGGGCAGGAGGATGGTAACATTAAGATTTTTCTAAAAAAACAAGAGACAACTATTTTTGTTAATTTTGAAAAAATCTACTTTAAAATTACACCTATATAGCTAACATCTCTATGGGGTCTTGAAGCTGTAGCAATGGGTAACTGCTTTACACAAATAACTTTAAAAGTTTAATATGTCGTTTTCTTTCGAATCATTGAATCTCAATGCATCTTAAATGCACAAATTGTTGTTGGCAGCTATTGGACCACAAAATGGATTTGATTCAGAACTGAAATCAGTTATTGTCACACCTTATCAATAAAAGAAGCAGCTGCTCTCCGCTTTCCTCTTTCTGGCTGTGCTGAGCACAATCAATAGGGAAGGCCAGATTGGCAGTCTGCGTACCATTCCAAAACACCCAATTGCTTTTGACTAAGGATCAGAACAGGCATTATTTTAGCAGTTACTTAATTTTTTTCCTGTTTTTCTAGAGGCCCCTAATCTGTGATAGGACTTTTGTATGGGGCAAAGACTGCAGGGTGGGGAGGGTTAACCTTCTTTCCCGACTACGGGCTTCATTGTCATTGGGCCCACAACATCTGCCACTTGTACTGTAAAATAGCATTGCTTGAAAATAATTAAATGTAATTATTTACCCCTTTGTCCCAAAATAGCTTTCCTAGTTAATTGGGTGGGTAACAGCACTCACCCTCAGAGCTTGGAAATAATAACCTAATTATTTTCAGGCTGGCCCTGTTGTTACTTGTCTTTCTGCAAGCAGGCAAAAAACTTTCTCTTCAGGCAGGTTTTCTCTTAGTGACTGGCTGCCTAAGAGGTTTATTATTTTTTTTTTAAAAAAGGAATTGTTTCTCTTTTTGTTCCTTTTACATCTGTTTAAGAATACTTTTATCTAATCTTTTTAATGTGATGATTGGTAATTCTTTTAAAATATTTAAATAATTGATTTTCTGCATTAGTGGCATTCCTTCTGTCCATCAGCTGTTTGGCTGAAACCACGGCACTGAATCCATCAGCTGGGAGGTGGCCCCATCTGCTATCACTCCATTGACAGGCTGGTCACTGCGAAGAAGCCAGTGGTGCCCCTGAGCTGTTTGGCACATTGCCTTGCCCATCATCTGATCGGGATGATGCAGGGACTGCAACTGTAGCCTGCACCAAAGAGGCCAGCTTTGGCAAGCACACAGCAATGTTGTTGTTGTTGTTGTTGTTGTTGTTGTTGTTGTTGTTGTTCCTTTCTGATATAATGATGTATCAGATAGCAGAAATTTTTAAAAAATAACCTGCAGAGGCATTCACATATGTGGAATCAATTTCAATGAATCAATTCCACATCCATGTTAAAATAAACAGACCTCTGGCAGAGGAGTAAAAAAAAAAAAAACCCAAAACTTACTGCCACTCAAAATAACACAATCCCCTGTCAAACGAATCTGTGCTTTCATATACCTCATGCAATCACCCAAATTTAAAGCAATCTAAAACATGGTAGACCAAATTTAAACAGAGTTAGCTTTTTTAAAACAAATGATTGGCGTCTAAACTGCCTTAGGCCTTTTTTTCCAGGAGAAAGGCAATGTAAAAATATGTTTAATTTATTATTTAATAAATAATTTTAACTCTCAGTTTAATGCTAACTTCTTTTTCCCTTGTTCTACCAAAGCTCTGTAAATGAATTTAGTGGTGAGCATTCACTGTTCCTGTAGTGCAATAAACGTAAGGTTTTGCCTTCTTATCCACTGCAGTGATGGGCTCAAGAGAAGAAACAGGGCTGGGGAACAACAAACAAAGCATGTGTTTGAGCATTAATTTCAGCATCTTCAATTCAACTGAGATGGGAGGTACAGGAAGCAGTTATTTAACAGTGCAAAAGAATGATTTGCATACACTTAGGGAAGTACTTGAAATATTCTGCTTATGTATTTTCCATCCTGGATCGGAAGCATTAGCATCACATCTTGGTGGACAAAAGTGGAGAGGATATTATAGTGAGAACAAATGAAGGGAACAATGATGGCAGTCATCTGTGCATGGCGCACAACAGGTTGATCTTACAACAGCTGTCCAGGAAATGAAATATGGCATGACAACCAAACCAATGGCTTGATCAGGAATATATTGCTACATGGCGGACCTTTGGCCCTACCTGCCATTTTCTTTCCAGTGAGCATTAAACCTGCTAGAAGCTGTAAATAAATAAATATGTGGTCACGTTATGACCCAGACAATGCAGTATGCTTCTTTCTTCATTCCTGTAATACTTAAAGGTAAAGGTTCCCCTTGACATTTAGTCCAGTCGTATCCAACTCTAGGGCACAGTGCTCATCCCCATTTCCAAGGCATAGAGCCAGCGTTTGTCCGAAGACAGTTTCCATGGTGACGTGGCCAGTGCAACTAGACACGGAACACCGCTACCTTCCCACTGAGGTGGTACCTATTTATCTACCTGCATTTTCACATGCTTTCAAACTGCTAGGTTGGCAGGAGCTGGAACAAGCGACGGGAGCTCACTCTGTTGCATGGATTTGACCTTACGACTGCAGATCTTCTGACCTTGCAGCACAGAGGCTTCTGCAGTTTAACCTGCAGCGCCACCACTTAGGTGAGAACAAATGCTTTGTATTTATGTACTGCTCTAGTTTAGAATCCCAGGATTATTGTTAGCAGAACAAAGGGACAGAAAGTTCCTCTTGCTCTGTGACTGACAATCTCTATATGAGAGCACAGAGGAGATATCTATGCAAACGAAATTGTAGTTTGAGAAATTGCAGTTACCCAAAACTACATGTTGCTCCTGTGTTTGATCTTTGTAAGCTAAAAGTTGCGTACATAGTCTTTTTAGTAATGGGACTGAGGTCTAAGCTACCTTGGGACTTTTTTTAAAACGAAAGGCAGGGTAAAAATAAATCAATTTTGTAAATCTTGTGACTAATTCTTTGTCATTGTCCACGACCATGACATATTTCTATGATCACTATTTTTAGTCAAGTACTTACCTCATATCTACGATTAATGCATCAGTATGAACAATCTTCTTCCAGACATGTTCCACAAGCAGCTCAGAGACTTGGGACAACAATTCACAGTCTCCAAACATATCAAATCTCAAGTAGCCAATGTTGTTCTCAAACACATTGGTGTGGAAAGAAAATTTAATGAGATCTTCAAACATTTCTGGAGAAGGAATCTGAAATGGTCAAAATAACATGGCAATTGACTTTTAATAGCAATTTGTCAAGAACAAGAATAATGGCTTAGTGAATGCAGTACTGAGTTTGTTAGTTTGACTACAATTAGTCTGAATACAGTCCTGAGTTTGGCTCATTGACACAAAACCTGTACAGTATGGTAAGAGTGACGGACTTTGTTTAGAAGGACCCAGGATCAAATCATTACTGAGCCATGAAATAAGAACAGGACCTTCTTGTTTAGTGGACTTCTGCCTCCATAATTCAATGGGAACCCTCCAGGCTGAATTTATTTATGAAAGACAATCAATGAAAGTGTGCTGTTTATATGCCGCCCCATAGTGCTTCAAGCACTCTCTGGGCGGTTTACAAGTTAATTATGCAGGCTACACATTGCCCCCCCCCCCCAGTGAGCTGGGTACTAATTTTATTGACCTCGGAAGGATAGAAGGCTGAGTCAGCCTTGAGTCGGCTACCTGGGATTGAACCCCAGGTCGTGAGCACAGTTTTGGCTGCAGTACAGCGGTTTAACCACTGCGCCACGAGGCTCTATGAACATGGACAGTTACTGTCAGTCTTATGAAGAGAAACAATTTTGCCTTTGTTTCTGGAAATTCTTGGGATACTTAAATGTCCAAAGCTATACTTGCGTTAACTCCACTTTGCTGACTGGGATTGGGACTTCTTTCCAAGCAAACATGCATAGAACTGAAGCTTTAACCTTCAAGATGAAAGCTGTTCATATTTTCACTGAGAAAATGCTGGGGGTTGGTTCAGCATCGTAGCTCCTATTCATCTTCCTTTGAACAGAGTCAATGAAGGTGCCGCTCTATACATACAATCTATATCCAGCAACCGTGCAGGTGCATATCATGTGAGCAATGTTTCATGTTGTGTATGCATATAGGTATCAAATGCATGTGGGGTCTGTGGCCAGCATCTCCCTCCTTCAGGATACAATGGTAAAAATAGGCTTGAACACTGCTTGAATGACTTTTCTAGGTATTCTCACATGGAGAGAATGAAAAAGAAATATAATCTCCCCCCCCCCACTCATCTGTTCCTATTTTCTACAATTTTCACTGAATTTGGCTCACAATACAACATTAAACAAAAATTCTGCCGGCAAAAATTCATGTGGATTGCCTGACAAAAGGTTTTGAAGCATGATCCTAGATTTTATAAAATCTCTTCAGGAGATTAAACCATAATTTAATTTTTAAACCAATCCACCCCACTATTGAAAGAAGAGGAAGAGATCTTAAAATCTATCATATATTTTGGAGTGGTGGAGAGTCCCTTCCACGCTTCCAGTGGAGCTTAGGACTCAATGGAACATAATCATCCACATGAACACATTGATTCCTTTTCGTTCATAAACAGATACAAATCGGAGCTTGATTGTTTGGAAAACTACCTTTGCACATTATTCTCTTTTTCTCCCTCTCTCTTTGTTTGTGAGAGAGAATTATTCAGTTATCTCTTGTGTTTTATTTTTTATGCTTTTTAATGTTTTTTATTTTTTATGCTTTTTTATGCTTTCCCACTAAAATTAAAAAAGTGCTCAGAATGGCTAATGATCACTAGATAGAATCGAACAATAAAAAACAAAAATAATAAAAATAATGAATAACCATCAAAACAGCTAAAAAAGGCAAGTTGAGAAAAAAAATGTGTCTTTACACCCTTACCAAGCCATCTGAGTGGAAGGCCACAAATAGAAGACTGGGAACAGAGAAATGGCAGCTGATTGGAAACAAAGATAGTAGAAGATGAGGAATTTGTAAGTTAGAGTATTTCTAACCATGGGGAGAAGATAGACCTGGATGACCATCCAATTTCTCTGGTGGAGAACATTGGTTTCTGCAGGTTTGTAGCAGAACTGCTACCCCACTACCAATTGCCGTCCCAAATGATCCTTAGCCGCTGAGTGGTGCCAGATTTATATTGGGGTGTCAGGCAACTAACAGGAGTTGGCCAGGGCACAGGTGGTCCATTTTACAAGTGGCATCTGGAGCAGCCAGGGTGTAAAACATGCCTATCTCTCCCAGACAGGGCACTGGTGGGAGGTAGAGGCATCAGGCATAGGCCATCACACTAGTACAGGATATAGGTGGGACCTGTTGAACGTGGCTGTGTAGGAGGGCATCCGCACAGCTGAGATAGCCATCCTTAGCCAGGGGATCCCAATGTTCCAAGAGTTTGTTGGCATGAAGGAGGACGTAATGAGGGGAGAACAGCATTCCCCCCCCCCAGCCTGAAAAGGTGGCTTGGCCAGCAAGCCAAAGGACCTGCTTCCTCAAGGTTTGCCTCCTGGTGGAAGAAGAAGGATTATATTCTAGCAAACCTCTTGGACCCCCCCCCAATTAAACAGTGGGCAATGGATATTAAGCAGCAGAAAGAGGAGGTGGGGAGCAACGCTAGCCAACTTTCCATCATATACAGCAACAGCTAGTGAAGAAGGTCTGGCTAGCATTGAGGGGTCACACCGAGCAGGAAGAAACTGGCCATGTTCACTGCATCCCAAACAGCAGCATGAGCCATTGTATCCTAGAGTTCAAGTCCCTCACCCCTGAAAGAATAGGGCAAGCTTTGTGGGATGCTGTTTTGATAAGCCTGACAAGGGCCTGTCCTCAGGAGACACTATCCCTGAGGAAGAACATGGTTGAGGGGTACATGCAGGAGGCCTTCAAGCCAAAAGAGGCCAACCCCTTTTCTTATTGGGCGGAGAAGGACTCTGTTTGGGGAGCCCAGGGCAAGATGGCAATGAGGCTGCTTTCTTGCCCACCAACTGGTGTTCCCAGTGAGAGAGTGTTCTCCCAGACAGGGGACACCGACAGTCTACACCGCTCATCTTGGTGTTCCCAGTGAGAGAGTGTTCTCCCAGTCTGCACCGACAGTCTGCACCGCTCATCTTTGGAACATGGATCTGTAGAAAAACTTATTTTCCTAAATATTAACCTACCATTGCTGGGCTTCTCTGAAGGACTCCTTCGGTGAGAGAGAATGACATACACTGCTCACAGTAACAGATAGCCAGCATTTCTTGCTGGTATTCCCAGATTCAGTCAGTAGGCCCATTATAGTCATTTCCTCATACTGCTGGCTATTGGTGTGCACTCTTGTTTGTTTGGCACAACCACTGAGAAGGTATCACAGGACACAGGGTAATCCTTTAAAAATGGTTTGCCTGTTCGCATTTTTTTAAAGGAGAAAATAATGACTATATAGTATTCATATTGACTGTAACCAAGTTCCAGATTTCTGGAAATTCTAGATTTTTGAAATTCTGAACTCCAAATCCAAAGGGTTGTAATTCCAAACTGTGAATCCAAATTTTGATGCTGGTGCATATCCCTATTTTAAAGCATGGAAAGGACAAGAATATGTGAAATCCAGTTGACTGCACCTCTCCTAGGCCTCTCCCCTCATGTGCTGAGGCGTTGCATCATATCATTAATCATCACTGCAAAGATTAAAGTGAATTGTGTGACTCCTGTGACCAGAATACGTATATATATATGTGCTTGTGTATGCAGTTCACACAATCTCCCTTCTCTTGCAGGAGCGTCTTTCTTTTAGGGGCCAAGCTTTTCTCGAATGCAAAATAAAGATAACTCCTTCATCAGAGCAGGAAGGAATGATCAGATGATACTCTGAGAGAATGTGATGTGTATGAATCTTGACTGACATTTTTTTTTCCTATCTGGCCCCTTCTTACTGTCTTCTCTGGGATATTTTTCAAAAGATGGGGCCCAGGTTCCCTTTTTAGACCCTTTGTACCTTTGATAGATATGGTGTACATAAATTTAGTAGGTACTTTCTGATGTGGGAGCTGTGGAGAACAGGACCAATTAGATCTCCCCCCCCCCATCTAGGTAAAAAAGGTTGTCATTTTCTTCTCCTGCCATTTTCATCTGGGGTCATATTTTCCCCTCATGGCTTTTCCCAAAACCAAGGAAAGCCTTGTAGGAAATGGTGTCTTGGAAGCTGATACATTCTTTTATTCAGTATTGCCTGCTATGCAGAGTGTCAGTGGCTGCTGATGTCACAGAACCTAGCAGTCTTTCCTATGTTCTTTCTGGGTGTAATGCATGTGTGCTGATGTCACAGAACCTAGCAGTCTTTCCCAGTCCCATCTGTGGATGTCAGGGACTGAACCTATGTTCTTTCTGTGTGTAATGCATGTGCATTATGACAACCTTACAGTTGCTGTCCGTGTTCCCTAGTCTTAGCTGACCTTGCTAGAAGCAGTGCAACCAACATTGAGTATCAGGGTAAGAAACAAGCATTATAGACAGTCTAGGAAGAAAAGCTCCCTGAATTGATGAAAAAGGTGTGGTTTTGCAAACATATTAGAAGCAGAAATACGTATGCCACCAGGATTTTTTTGAGAATGTAAACAATGGCTTCCTTTGCATGTCTAATTCCAGAAATAATGCAAAACAAAGGCGATCCCATTGATGGGGAGAAATCATTGTAACAACAGGGAAGATGCAGTTCTCTGACTATGGCACTCTGATTAAGAATGCTTTAGACTGAGTCCCATTTCAAGCCATGGGAATGCAGAAAATACATAGCTAAAAGGTAGCACTCCTGTTTTACAAACAAAAGCTTCTCTCAGTAACACAGGAGTTTTGGTTTAGCTGGCTTAATTAAGTACAGTACCAAGGACATTTCCTCACATAAACGCTTGGCTGGTGTTCCCTGCACACTTAGAAATGAGCAGTTTGCACTAATCCTTCAGCCTTCTCTGGAGAGATAAGCCCCTTTCAGGTGTTATTCAGATGGCAGAGTAAAGTAAGCATGCAGAAATATCCTCTAAAGCTGTAACTCTGGCCTTGATGATGCAGAACTCCCTTTGGACTCTGGCCAAGGAGACTACCTAGTGCAAGCAAGTGCATGGGGATCTGTACCTCAGATAATTATGTTGCCACGTGGATGGTGAGGGAGCCCAGCATTGTTGGGAGCAGGGCCAGAGATGTGCCACAAACCACTTTCCCCACACTTTGAAAAAGTGAAGAGGGAAGCTGCGTTTGTCCCTTGGCTATTTCCTTTGCGTAACAATGCAGAAGAGTTCTTTTTAAAATATAAGTCAGTACTGGCAATGTTTGAAAGGCAAGACATTCTCTACAAAATCTTCTTAGTCTATCCCTGCTGTGCCTGCTTCTCTGATATGAAATTCTGACCAGACCAGCAGGAAGCAATTTTAAGCTAGCTGTCCCTCTTTCACATAGACTTCCCTGCAGACAAGATTAATAGGAACATACCTGCATTGGCACAATCCCTGGAATGTGATCCTTTGAATGGTTAGGAATATAGGAAATTGTCAGGTGCCGATCTTCGGAAAGAGTCTTTAGGTCGGCGGTCATTTTTTCAGCAAGTTCCATCTGAGAAGTGATCTTTCTGTAAGTGTCTTTGTGGGCATATCCAGCGAGTTTGGTTGCAACTGTAGCCCCAACATCAGCAAAGGCATAATTATCAGCCACAAATTTGCCCACCGTTTGCAGGACACTGGGCAGCTTGGCACGCAAGGCAATAATATTCTGGGCTGAAGCCATGGCTTCCGCTGCCTGGGTGGTGACATGTGGTTCTACCCCAGACAAGCTCCATACTTTGCCGGTGACCGGACTGAGTACCACTTGGCTGGGAATGGAGGCATACAGTGGGGTATTACTCAAGTGGTAAATTCCTGCAGAGAGTGAACCCCCTACAGTGGGTTCCCCAATTACTGTGGCACGATGCAGGTCTTTCAAAGAACGAGTGAATGCTTCAGCCGCTGAGCCACTCACATGGCTGATTAGGATATAAACATCCTTCGACGAGCCGTAACGTTTGCCAGCGACTTGCGGTGAAGTCCACAGCTCTGTGCTGTGAGAGTTGCTGCGGTCAAAGATTGTGTACAGGTGCTTCTGGGGCTCGGCATCAAAGAAGTACGAGCAGAAGATGGGCACGGCATCGGAGTAACTGCCAGTATTGTAGCGCATGTCGACAATCATAGCATCAGTCTCCACCAGCTTGTCCCAAACCATGTGAAGTAGTTGGGGCCCAATGGTCTTCACTGTGTCTGCTTCAGCCATCATGTCAAAGCGCAGATATCCCACATTGCCTGGCAGCACATCCACCTTGAAGAGAGCCTCAATTATGTAACTCAGCTCCTCAGGAGTGGGAGTCTTGTTGGGAGGCTGTTCCTCTGGAGAAGGTTCAGTGTAACTGTGGAAGATGTGCAGCTGATGATCTCCAGAAGCTTCCTGAAGGTCACTGGTTAGCTGAGAGGCAAGGGTCTCAAAGTCCACCGCTGTACGATAACCCCCTTGTGCTAACTTAGCGTTGAGTGTACTGCGGACTCGTTTGGCCATTTCTGGTATGGCGTAGTGAGCCTCAAGCAGTTGTCCAACTCCTTCAATCAGGGTTTGCATATGCTTATGGAACTCTAACACTTCTTCTGCCTTTTCCAAAGCCTCATCTGCCAGTACGATAGCATCAGGCACCACTCCGCTGCCAAGCCAGTATTCCCCATGGTTGTCAATGAAAGTGATGATGGGGACATTGACAAGGAGTCCACAATCTGCTCCTTCCACTGACTTCAAGATGCAGAAGGTGCGCGTGTGGGACAAACGGCCTGCAGTAATCTCACCCACCAGGGTGGCGCGGCCAAGGGACTGCATAAGGTAGGCAAACTCTTCCGCTGCTGTAGCTGTTTGGTGGCTGGTGAGCAGATAGATGCCGCGCCGTGCCCCATAGGGCTTGCCTAGCATTTCAGCTCTGCTGTTGTGAACCTGAGTCTGGTTTGTGCGCCTGTCATAGGTGGTGAAAAAGTGCACACGGCCAGCGGAGGGGTCTTGAAAATAAGACAGCAAGACTGGCACCGCAGTTGAAGATGGGCCGCCAGGATTGTAACGCAGGTCAATAATCAGATTGTCAGTGGCTTGCAGGGGCTCCCAGACTTGGTGTAGCAGGTATGGCCCTAGCTTGACCAGCACTGTAGCATTTGCAAACTCATCGAAGCGCATGTAACCCACGTTGCCTGGTAGTACTGACACCTTGAACACAGTCGCTACCAGGGCTCTCATGAGCTGTTCATTGTCAGGCAGGTCAGTTGCCATGGCAATCTGCTCCTCGGCTGATGTCGCTGCAGCCTCACCTATGCTGGGGACCCGTAAGAAGAGCTGTGGGTCCTCTGAAATGGTCTGCAATTCAGCATTGAGCTTGGAAGCCAGATCCTGTACGGATAGAATAGAAGCATAGTCAAAAGTGGAGAGGTGCTGCAGCAGTGTGGGCACTCGCTCTACCATGGAGTAGCTGTTTTTCAAGATATCCATCAACTGGCTCACACTGCTGGGAACAGCTTTGCGAAGCGATATAATGGCAAGGGCTTTGGCCAGAGCTTGTTCTGCTGAGGTGGCTACACATGGCGGCACCCCGTTGACTTCCCAGCTTTGCCCACTGCTGCTCAAGGGGCTCACAGAACGGGATACAGGAACGGTCATATAGAACTGGGAAGTACCGATCTGCAACTTCTGGATGTCCAGCGAGCTTCCTGCTGTTCGCTCCCCGACTATTATGGCCCGATGCATTTGCTTGAGAATGTAGGCCAAATCTTCAGCCACCCCAGTGGTATGTTTACTTGTCAGCAAAATTACATCTTTCTCTTTGCTATACCTCTCACCCAATACCTTCGGCAAGGTCCAGATTTCCACAGTGGTATTGGAAGGCCGGTTGTAGACAGTATCCACATGCAGAACTTTGTCCTCGTTGTATAAGTAGGAGACAATGAAAGGAATGCCGGAAACCTGGCCGCCAGTGGCGTAACGCAGGTCTAGTATCAGAGCTGATGTCCCCCTCAAGGTCTTCCATATTTTTTCCACCAGAAAAGCACCTACTTGCTCCACATCGTCCTTTCCGATTATGTAGTCAATCCTTAGGTAGCCTATATTATCATCTAGCACTTCAAACTTCACTGCATGTTGAATGAGATTTAAGAGCTGCTCTGGTGTCGGAGAAGACTCTGTTTCTTGTCGAGGGGCAACAGGAGCTGAAGGCTCATAAGAGATTTCCAGCCGTGGGTCATTAAGAGCTCCTTGCACCCCAGCTGTCAGAACAGTTGCCAGAAGTTTTGGATCTGCAATGTCCAAGATCTCCCCATTCTTGATGGCTTGTTCAATGGCTTCACGCATCCCCACCAGGTTTTCAGGAAAGCAGTAATTATCCAGCAGAAGTTTAGCAACATCCAACACCAGCGTGGGTTGGAAGACACTCTCAGCATGGATACTGTAACACAGCAGGGCAATCAACAGCCATAAGTATTTGCTCTTCATTTTAGTTCATCCAGAAAAGTGCACCACGAATTGCACCATGAAAGAAATTGAAAACCTGTTCAGGCAGAGCGTAGCTTTCTGTTGACCCTTCTTTAGTCTGTCTCTGAATCAGCACTGAATAGCTAAGCATTACTTCTGCACAGAATATCCCTTTTATCTAACACTAACCCTTAAATCTGGCTAATCTTATTAAACTAGAGGGCATCAGCTAGAGACCAGATAAAGTGCAGCTTTATTCTAGTTGTAACAACCTTCTTACAAAACCTTCTTAATGAACCCTGGGAAATCAGGTAATGCTTAAACCACGTCATTATGTTGACGAGACTTCACATTTTGATTAACTGCTTTCTGAATAGGAACCGATGATGTTCCTGAGAAAGTGGATCAAATTTTGCTCCCCACTAAATGGCTGAAATCAGGTACACGAAGTAGAACTGCAACAAAAATAGCAGTCAGCTTCATGGTGTTTTTAAAAGCAGCAGTTCAGTGTTGTTAACTTTTTGTTTAAATGGTAAAGATATGAAAAGTACTACCAGAGGCAGTACACACAAGAGAAAAATTAAAAATAAAATAGAAATGCAGTAGTTTGCAAGTGTGTTTTATTAACCAAGCTCTTTAAAATTTCCCCCTGGATTAGAAGATTAATATTTCCATTTTCGGTGAACTAAAGTTTTAGATATCTTTAGTTCATGAATACCTGTATTTGGAGGCCATATTATCAGAGAGTTCTCATAGATGAGAGGGAAATATATTGATGAGAGCAGGTCAGAAGAAGCTAAGGTACTGTGAATAAACATAGATGGAATTCAAAAGATCCTGTGGAAGCCAAAGAAACAACAACTGTTGAACAGAACCAGTGTGTTAGCTAATGTTTATGATTGACTAGTTTCTTTTCATTAATTAATTTTGTCATCCTGATTTTCCAGCTTTGTTTGCATTTCCATTTGGTGGTTTAAGTTCTTTTCAACAGTGAAGATTTGTGGCCAGTTCCATGTTATACCTAATGAGAAGAATATATCTGTTGTTAGAACTGTGCTTCAGTAATGTCTTTAACAGGACTTTGCACATACTTCTGCTGATCAGACAGTTGCTAAATGCAAAGTGACTTTAATCTTCATAATTTGCAGTCAATTAGGATTTAACTTGTAATACCACCAAAGAACATATGGTCACTGCTTCCTGGCAAGAGAAATTAATCTCAAAGACTGAAATAGAATGTTTGTGTATGTGTCCACGTGCGCACATGTGTACAAGCGTGCGTGCATGTGCATATCTGCTTTATCCTTTGGATTTCTGTATTTGAGATTCTATTGTGCTGCTAAAAGACTGAAAGAATGTAATTTCTCATGTGGCCATCACCTATGCTTTATCTCATTTCAAAATGGTGTGTTAATTCAGTTGGACAAGTGCACAGTTGCCGTTAGAATGAAGCTTTAGACTTAGGCAATTTTTTTCAGAAATATATCAATGCCTAATGAGACACTGATCAACATGTTGAGGGTTACAATCCCTAGTCTCCCAGTGTGAAGAACTAGATTGGAATGGCAACAAAAACTCAGGATGTATTTATTTCTATCCCACCTTTCTCCCCAAAATGGACAGAAAACAGCTTGGGAATAAGTTGCAATTAGAGTAGGTCCACTGAATCAGTGGGGATCTGGTGAGTTAACATCTATCCAATTTTCATAGCTTCAACAGACCTACCCTAATTGCAGTTCAATAGTAGATGTTAGCCAAAAAAATGGAGTAACAACAAATGAATGAATGAATGAATGACTAATGAGTTAATTCAACCTTTGTTCTCTCCACACAGGCTTTTAAATAATTAGGAGAATGTTAGGAGGGCCCCCTGGAAGCTCATATCTGGCTATTTGTTCTATAAAATGTTATCCTATTTTCCAGTAAGGTTTAATCTTTATTCAGTGCTCTGCCAGATGTACCACATCTCCAACACAGACCATCGTTTAGTCGTTTAGTCGTGTCCGACTCTTCGTGACCCCATGAACCAGAGCACGCCAGGCCCTCCTATCTTCCACTGCCTCCCGTAGTTGTGTCAAATTCATGTTGGTTGCTTTGCAGACGCTGCCCATCCATCTCATCCTCGGTCGTCCCCCACCTGGAGTAGGAAATGGCAATGCCACTCCAGTATCTTTGCCAAGAACGCCCCATGATCAGAAACACAGACCATAATTATTTTTAAAAAGTTATACCAGATGAGATACCACTGATGCAATAATAAGTAAAACAGTGACATGTTATGTTTATTACTAATAGATCCTCTATATTTTCATGTCACCAGTGCCAAATATTTATAAGAAGCAAAGGGCTTTAAAAAATCTTTCTGCCATGTGGTGCAGGGTGGTGGTGGGAGTGCATGACTAAAAGGCTCTTATGATTTTCTCTCATAAACAGACATATTTTACCTATTAATCCCCTACTTGGTTTATTTAAGTACCAAACTTCAGTAGTACTCCATTTCCGAAGCAGACCATGTTTACCAAAAATCCCACTAAATGCATGTCATATCTGTAAGAACTGGTGTGTTTTGATGATGAAATATGATGCAGTGTTTTGTCTGACTTTGTAACATCACACATACTAGAAGTGAAGAGACAGACTTTGCTCATACGGTAAAATCCACTAGATTGCTTCTGTAACACAGAATCCCTTTGCAAACACTGGAGTAATGGCAGCGTTCTACTTCCACTGAAACTGAATATTTCTGATACTACTGATGCAGTGCCCAAATGAGACTGAACATGCCTGGGATTGTTGCTGAAAACAGACTAACAAGGATACTTCCCTGCAAAATGCTCAGTCTTCAGGCTGCATAATCTTTAATAAGGGTAGATAACCTTACTAACTTTTTATGGCACGTTAAAAGACCAACAGATTTGTTTCAGTGAGAGCTTTCAGTGATTGCAACCCACTTGTAAGTCTGAGTGTAGAGATAAAGGAGGATGTTGCTCCTCCGAGGAAATAATAATTTAGGAGTGGTTGCCTCTGCTTCAAGTATGCTCGACATAGGGATAAAAATAGAGACATGTAGGATAAGAGAACTCAAGATGTGGCAGTGGCTTTGAGGCTTCTGGAAGTATTTTTAGCCCCAACCAAGTGCTATCCGGGGGGATGAATGCTTGCTCTTGCATAAAGGCCAATCCTTAAGACAGTTGCAGGAGAGGTGGGTGAGGGGATCGTGGATTTTGCTCACAAGAGGTTAATGCAGTGGCAGAACTACGGTGAAACTTGACTCTCAGTGAAGTCTTCCTAGTTCCTTCTGCTCTTAGTTTAATTTTTTTCCCCACAAGTGGAATGGGTGGGGAGAGTATTAAGGCAATCTTTCTATCTATGGATGATCAGAGACTATTGCAGATTTTCGGTTTTTTGTTCAACGGTTCTTTAATATTTTAGCGATCTTCTACAGTTCACCTTTGAGGTATTTATTACACAGAAGACACATAAATATTTTAGGACTGCTTACATAACACTGAATCAATAAAAAGAAACAAAACTAAACTAAAATGACAGAAATATGTGGCACCTTAAAGACTAAGTATTATATTTTAATGTTAGCTTTCGTGGACAAGGCGTCCTCTCACATTTGGAAGAAAATATGAAATGCTGGATGAAGTCAAGTTACTTGTGTAACTGGTATTTCATCCACCATTTCATTTTTTCCTATATAGTTTTAATGTGAGCTTTCGTGGACAAGGCCTCCTCTCACATTTGGAAAAAAAATGAAATGCTGGATGAAGTCAAGTACTTGTGTAACTGGTATTTCATCCACCATTTCATTTTTTCCTATATAGCTGATGAAGTGGACTTGTCCATGAAAGCTCACATTAAAATATAATAGTCCTGAAGGTGCCACATATTTTTGTCTTGTTTTGTTTTGTTTTATTTCTTTGAAGTTTGTCTAATATGCTTGCACAGACTAACACGGCTACCTCTTCTGAAACTGAAACAATAAAGAATGTTGCGGGATCTTAACGACTAACCAACCTACTACAGAGTAAGTGTGCATGGAAGACAGACCGCTTTATCAGGAATAAATGTGCACAATATTGGCATTGCAATGGGGCAGGGGCTGTGACAATTCTATCATTAACCTTGCTCATTCATAAAATTGCTGATGAAAATACAACCATATTTTGGCACAAGTTGCTTTTTAAAAAAAACACCTTTCTGACACTTATTAATATATACTATGTGAGAAGACATGCTTCAGTTCCAGTCTTTGGTGGAAGGCTATATGGGGATATAGAGACCTTTGGGTAGTGTGGATAGCATATAGATTAAATAAATATTATTCAGTAACAATCTCTTGCTTCAACCTACGTCCAGTGTCTGTTGTCTACTGTGGGCAAATGCAACGTGACCATGTGTCCTGGGAGGCTGGAAGGGTTCTTCTGCTAGTTGCAAAGACTGTTCTTTTAAATGTCAGATTGCTCGCTGTATAATCTACTGTATGGAGAGCCTCTACCCCTCCATAAGTAGTTTGGAGGAAGGCCTTTGTTGCTGAAGGTAATTCATATCACATTGGGGCAATGAGTAAATCAGGTGTGCACAATGCTAGTTAGCTGCCAAAGGCACTTTTACCACATATCTTTAGCACCCTGGGGGGCCGCCCAGCCACTACACCCCAAAACATTTCTCTCTTTTTTTAAATGAACATCTTTTGTTCAGAAAATCCCCTCATCCCCTTTAAGTGATATGGGCAATTTCCCCATGTTTGGGGGAGTGTGGCAGGACCTGTGGTGGGGCATCCTACCTGTTCAAAATTCTTTATTTCCACCCCCCTATAATTGTTGACCACGAAGAAAGCATGAGGAAGCTTTTTCAAGCCATTTACTAAAGTGAAACAATTGTTTCGTTAACAAAAATCTATTGTACTGATTTTTAAGATATAAAAAACATAAATAAGCCTGTATTTTCGAAGGCTTGTTATGGTCATACACAAAACTGACCTCCTATTGGGACACATGGTCTACAGAAAACCCACCCACCCACACAAAAACTCTAACCACCACCCATGGCAAAAAGAAGCATAACCAAAACACTGGTAGGCCATCCCACATCCTGGCACAGCACACAACCCAGTTGACACAGATGGCGGACCGTAACATTTGTTGTATTTTTGTGGTGGGCTTGAATACTGTTTGTAAGCCCACCACAAAAATACAATGAATGTTACGGTCAGCAAAGGACAGAAGGGACCCTCCCCACCACTGCAGGAGTATACCGGATACCTGTCAGTTGTGGACAGGTATATATTGGAACCACAAAATGCAGCATTCACACCAGAATCAAAGAGCATGAGAGACACTGCAGACTAAAACAACCGGAAAAATCAGCAGTAGCTGGATATGCCCTGAAACAAGCTGGACAAGAAATTCTATTTCAAAATACTGAAGTACTGGACAACACCAGCAATCATTATGTTAGACTACAGAGGGAAGCCATTGAAATCCACAGACATCAGCAGATCTTCAACAAAAAAGAAGAAAATCTAAAGCTCAAAAAAATCTGGCTCCCACAGCCTGCAAAAAGTTCAATGAACTCTACCCAGCCACAAGGACCAGTGATCACTGCATACAAAAGACCAGCTAACGACACCCATCAATTACAGTGACAGGTCATCTCTCCCCCTTACCACAACAATACACCATGAACACAAAACACACTGATCACTATCCCAATTTCCTAAATAGGACAAAAAGTTGATCCCACGGCTATAAATACTCAACAATGCCACAGACTGCACCAGAGCACAGAGTTCTGAATCCTGTTCTCTGAAGATGCTGGCCACAGAGACTGGTGACACGTTAGGAAGAAAAACCTCCATAACACAGCCAAACAGCCCAGAAAACCTACAACAACCATAAATAAGCCTCTTTGGCTACACTCATTCCCCCCCCCTTTAGGTTTTTCGCATTGAGAGTGTGGACTTCAGGCTGCTGGCAGATCTGGAAAAAAAAGGCCCCTCGGCCCCTCTGAGGTCACCCACTACCAAAGTAAATTAATCCTTAATGTTGTGGGTTACACTATCTAGATTTTATGTGCTTTGGTTTGTGAGAATGAGGGGAAACAGCATAGATAGTTGATAATTGGCACTTATATGTTAGAGACCTGAAATTCAGGAAATCTTTTGTGTTTGAGAAAACAGTCTCCAAAGGAACCCCATGCTTACACCCTGAATACTAATCACAAAAAAAAGCCAGCTAATCTGCATAGTTTGGATAAGAGAAGCTCCTACCCAGTATGTGGACATAAAAAGGCACTCACACAATCAGCAATAAGGGTTTCTCTCTTCCAATTATGGTTTATCTATATTATATGATTCTGCCCTGATCTGAATAGCCCAGCTTACTTGACTAGCCATTTTGGTATGAGGCCTTGCAGGTTTTAAAGAAGTGAATCCCTACTTCTTGTGTATGGGTGTTTCTTAATCCTTTGTGCCTACCTGCTGTACTCCACAATTTAGGTTGTTGATACCAAGTCCCAACCTTTGTTTAAACTGTTACTCTATAACTCCACAAGTGAAGCCACTCTGTCATCTTCACTATAGTCTCTTCCCTTTTCAATCCACTTTCCCCTGCCCTCTGTATGGCACCATGGAGTCTTCCTCACATGGGACGGAGAAGGGAGGGGGAAGGAAAAGGCAGAAAAATCCACAATGGCCTTGCCTCTCAATTGAGTGCTGCGCGTGGCACTCAAATCTACAGAAAATCTCTGGTGTCCTTCTAAGCAGAATAATAATTTGTGTAAAATATTTGATGTAGCAAAGTGTTTTAGAAACACTGTTTTAGAAACACTGTTTAGAAACACAATCTCTACACTAGCCCCCATAAGAGAGGTTGGCAGTAATGTTTCCATAATATTTTTAGCATCCATATGGCTAAATAAACCCTGTGCTAGTTTCCTAGTCCCAAATCCCAGCAAAGGACAAAAGGGACCTCCTCACCATTATGTTTCCATAATGTTTCTAGCATCCATATGGCTAAATAAATAGTTTCCTAGACCCAAATCTACCTTCATCTAGAAAGCAGTTCTACAGAAGAAAAGAAACAAGCAGCCATATACACTTGTATGTATTCTTCTCATAAAGCCAGCAAGAGAGTAAGGTGGTTTAGATTAAATAAATGTAATAGAAAGAGTATGTCTGACTTTCCTGATATTTGTAGGTGCTGCTTGGGGCTTTTGACTAGGACTCTTCCAAAGGGAGGAAATTTCCAAAGATGTATGTATGAACCAGTGATACACAAGCTCACAAATCATTAGATTTTGCTCTCAACCATATACTCTTTTTTTCTTTCTTATCCCAGCAACAGGGAACAAAACACTATGGATGGTATTACACATTGAAATTGAGGTTTCAGGGATTTTGAGCAACAGTGGGTCCCTTAACACTTTACCAAATGGCAATCACAAAGTATGTCTACATTCTGTGATGGCCACTTGGCAAAGTTATTTTAGTCATTTGTACTGCTCTGCTAAGTGAGGACAGAAGTGTTTGCACACTTTTGCACCTGAATCAAAAATCTAGGGACAGCAGTTAAGATTCTCCTCTCCATATGAAAGAATATATTAAAAAGAAACTTAGCCAGTAGTTAAATATGCACCATGTCAACACCAGATAAATGTATTAAAAATCTTGTCGATTGTTTTGAAATTCACTGCCCTTTGTATCAGAATCAGAATCTTGATACACATGTTTTTCTCTTAGTATAAAATGACATAACTTTTAAAGAAACATTATAGCCACGAACAACATTTTGGATAATTTAGATTTATTTATTTATTTAGGAATCTAAACATACGCTGTTCCTGCCTTATTTATAAAGCTATGTTTCAAAACACTCTAGCAGTTGGCACATAAAATAGAAGCTTGATATAACTTTAAAGGAAGAACACAATCCATGCATAAAGAAATGGAAGTCGGGTTGGACAGAGACCTCTTTTACTTGAATATGCCACTTCTCAGAGCTGCTTGTCACTTAGGAGTTGCATGTTATGAGCAGGAATGAGAGGTCTGTCAACTTTTCCTTCATGCAGCCAAACAAAGTAGATTCCACCAAACTCTGTCAATTGTCAATTTCTGTAGCCAAGGCAGCAACAGTCATGTGAAATTGAACTGTGTTCGAAAGAAGTATGCACGCATTAGTTGTTGTTTAAAGAATGATTGGAAATACACTTATGCCCTGAATGTAGGGATTAGATGTCACAAGGTAGACAGGTGACTGTTAGGATGGAATTTTATCCCCTTGCGCTTTCCCTTTCCCCCAAAACAATTTACTGGCAGATTTTATTTTTAAAGAGAGAGGACACTCTATGTACTGCCCCAAGTCCTCTACACCAGTGGTCCCCAACCTTGGGCCTCCAGATGTTCTTGGTCTACAACTCCCAGAAGCCTTCACCACCACCTCTGCTGGCCAGGATTTCTGGGAGTTGAAGTCCAAGAACATCTGGAGGCCCAAGGTTGGGGACCACTGCTCTACACACGCCAATGAACTGGGGTGCGGTAGGCCAGTATCTTGCTTCATAGCTCTATCAACAAAGTGAAACAGGTGCCACTGGCAACAGCAAATTGCTGATAATAAAAGGGTCCCTGCTTTGATTTTGAGCAGTACAAAACTCATGCCTTAGATAAGAGTTATGCCAACCTGAAACTGAAGCAGAAACACTTTGATTAGTGACGATCAGCCATTGCTTGGTTATATTGCTCCCATTGTGCTGGCATAGCTATGAAACAGGGATGTGGCTATAGGTTTGCAGGTTCTTGGAGGCTGAGCATTTTTAAAGCAATCTGTAGACAAGAAAAAAATAAAATATGAAAATACAGCATGGAATAAAAGTAAAAAAAAAGAAGATTGTATTCTTGGGGCTTAGAAACAGAATATAGATATTCCCATTGTTTTGTAGAAACCAAAGGAATAAAGAATTTGAACATGATCAGGATTTCACAGAAATTTTGGTGATACAGTTTTGCTGGTCTTTTTTGAAAGGGAAAGTTTCATATGATCACCCACCCCCGTGCTCCAAATTTCTTGTTTTCTCTGCATTGGGACTCAGGAAAAAAAAGAGAGAGAAAGCTTTGTAGAGTAGGAATGATATCCTTATGAATGTATCATAGCAGGTCATTATGAGACCACGGAGAGACTGTAGCTGATGTCCTGCGCACAACTAATAACAACAGTGCGGCCCAACAATATAAAGTTCTGTAAAGAGAATCATATATGGGTAAAAGGGAGACATGAACACACACACACACACATACACACACAAACACACACGTATACATGGATTAAGAGAGAGAGAGAGAGAGAGAAACCAGATAGGGGGTAGGGGAAAAGAAGGAAATACTGTATCTGTATAAGGGTAGAACCTGGAACTCAGTAAGTCCCTCGACTTGGCCATTTATTTACAAACAAGTGCCATTCTGTGCAAAGTTCATAGAGAAAGGGCTGCATGCAAGACTCGGTGTTTAAATTACAAAAGGGGAGGTCGCCTAGTACTACCTACAGCCGCATTCTGCTACTTTCATTCCCTCATATTGGTATTTCAGAGTGGGGATTCCAGCATCATCTTTGTAAAGCACAGAAATCGGATCCAGCTTAGTGGGGACACAACAGGCTTTGGCGGCTTTCTTTGGGTTCTTGTAGTGCACCAAGGTCTGGACAATTGCATGCTTGGTTGGGGTTACGTTATCAGTCAAAGGAAAGAAACAGCCACCTTTGCACTCAAAGGCCTCATAATCTTGAGGTATAATGATCCAATTCCAGCCAATTTCTTTGAAGTTCACATGCATAGAGGTTCTTCGGCAGTGGTTCCGTTCAGCACTCCGTTTGTTCCTCGATGGAGGATGATGGATGCCATGGATGGATAAAGAATTCTCTTTGTGGGCAGTGTCGTTTTTTATTAAATTCCTCAGCACACTCTCCTGCTCATGCACCATCATTTCTTGAAGCTCCATATGGTCTTCCTTGACCCTGTTGCCGTGGTCGTTGGAGAATACTATCAGCAAGGGCAAATGGTTGGAGTCAGATGCAACACTCATGTGCAGCTTCCCACAGGCAAGATCACTTTGAACACTACTTTCCACAGCAATCTCCAGCTGACTATTAGCCCTCGGTTTTGGTGCTTTGATCCATCTTTTCACAGTGCTGGACATGTCAAAGATCACCCAGCCACATTCTTGAATTTTTTTAGAAACTAGGAATGATTTGAGGCCGTTGGGTTTTTCCCACTCATTTTCTTCAAGAACATGATAAAGAGCCATGTTCCCTTCAAACTGAGACACACATTCTGCTTCCTTCTGACATGTAGTGTGGATTCTTAGCTCAGCTCTAGTTACTTCTTCGTGCCACGGGACAGAGATATTGAAAAGCAAGATGTATTTCTGAAATGGAGCCGTGTCCGATGAAGAGAGAGAAACAATGTCTGTGGGAACAAATTGATAAACAGCATTACCATCATTATCTATGACACAGAAATAAAAACATGAAGGCTTTCAAGAAATCATCTTCCTTGTCTCATTGTTGTTTCTGTTAAGAGTGTTATAAAACAAAGTCAAAGACATGAATTTAGCCCACTTAAGAGGACGCAAATGGAGGGGGAAATAGATATGTGGTATGTAAGCATGCTCCCATCATGCCAGAAATGAAAACAGAGACTTCTGTTTATGTTTGCAACATTTCTATAATTAGCTGAGCCTCTTACATGTTGTGCCAAAATGGTCAGCCTTATTTCGAAATTTAATAACCTAATTTGCTCTCTCTTCACAAGCAGTGTGGGTTAAACCAGTTTTAATTGTTGTGAATGCTTAATCCTCAACAGTAAACTTACTAGAAAGTTGCAAAGCAAATGTAGTTAGCAACGGACTGGCATTTTGGGGTACACTGGTATTTTGTCTGCTTCCCACCCTCAATTATGGTTTGATTGTCTAGAGATCAGTGCTGCTAGTACTAGAGACAGGAGCGAAAGAATTACTACATATTGATTTTATGTACCATTTTTAATATGATACTTGCTTAATTCGTATTTAATATTTGTATATTTACTGTTTCTAGCTTTTAAATATTGTCCTTTTAATGATGCGTAAGCCACCTTGGATCCTTTTAAGGAGAAATCCTTAGGGGGAAATATTTTAAATAAATAGATAAAAATGATAAAGTTCAGACAGCTGAAACATCCAGAGGAGAGAGAAAGAGGCTGAATATTACCCTTTCCCCTTTGCCTCTGCTGGAGCTTCAGCAGCTGCTTCAGAATGAGGCAATGGAGCATGGAAGAGAGTGTGATCACCTGCTACTGAAGGCTGATTTTTCAGGAAGGAAACAGAGGACATCTGGTTTGATTTCTTAAGTTTGGGCATGTTTACACTGTTTCTTTTGGAGGTGACTGGTGTGGGCTGAACAGGGCTGCTCGGGGCCAAGTGAAAGTGCAACATGTCATTTGCATACAAATGGCATATTGGAGCTCAAGCAACCCTACGTATTTGGTCTGGCTCTTTCTGATATTGTGAAGTAGTTTAACAAGGGCTACTAGTCAACTGGAGATGGCTGTAGAAGGCTTCCTCTGCTCCTTGGCAGAGGGACAGGGGAAATGATGTTTGTTTGTTTGCTTGTTTGTTTGTTTAAAGATACTTGCTATCGCTGAAGCACTGTATTGCTTGGGAAAAAGAAGAAAATATTTTCTTTGGTTTGTCTGAAGGGTCAGTTGGATCCTTCTCTCTGCAGTGGCTACAGGCACTGCTGGCAGAAGATGGCATAGATAACATCAGAGAAGGAACAAGTAAATCAACCCCCAGTGTTGTGGCTGACATTTCTGAGGCTCTTGATGGTGCTGTCAGTGTAGATGTGGAGACACAACCTGCATTTTTTTCTTTTTCCTATATTTATTGGTGGATAAGATCAGTTATGGAAAGAGTAAACAGGCAAACGGGTGTCATGTGGTACCAGGCACTCAAATGCACTAGTTCAAGAAGGGTCAAAGTCGTTGTTGGCATAATTATCTTGTAAAACCAAACAGAGAGTGATTTAGCATTTTGGGGAGGTATATATGTCAGAACAACAACAGCAGCAGCAGCATTTCAGTCAACGCAGAGGCCTATGCCATTTTTGTCTGTTGCAGGTACACTCGTCTGGCTGATGTCTAGGAAAAGAGAACTGATTTCTTTTCATCTAAATCTATTTTCTAGTGCTCTATTTAAAAAGAATCACCTGTGGGCCTGCCTCTTGAAGTTCAGCACTGAGCCATCTTTTGAAATGAATCATTCTGAATGGGTAGTTTCAAGGAGCCGTTGCACTCCACTGGGGACATAACTGTGGGGTCCAGGTTATCTGGTGGCTCCTGATGTGCCCCTGCAAAGAGGAGGTGATATGGCAGGTCCCCAAATAGGCAGTACAAACTTCCTATTTTTTTTTTTCTGTTCAGTATATTCTGGTGCCAGAATACACTGCTCTGGAGAAGCCTGACCCAACTCTTGATTGGCCGAGTGATGGGAGAGGGCCTTTAATAGAAATGGACCTGGGAGGTGCTGTCTCCTCTCTCTAAGCTAGTGAATGATATAAATAATTTCCCTCACCCAGTATGTTTAGCAGTTGGTTTGCTTATGTAAAGTTCATATAAGGCTGTGTCCTGCGGTGAATCCACGTACTTTGTCACAACTTCATTGGTGGTTTAGACTATTAAGGAGGTAGAGTGTGCACCTTTAACCACCACTGCCCTCTGTCATGGGGAATCCTCTTGAAGGACCTGGGAGAGGACAGCCTGGATGGGCTGGATCCTCGGCTGTACTTCCAGGTGACAGGAAAGCTATAAAAGGGCAAGGCATTCATGCAGTCATTCCAGGGTCACTTCTTATCCCATGTGCTGCGTTACAGTTTGGGTTGTTGAATCTGGTTCATCTGTTGCTCTGGATCAGCTATTCTCGACCGGCGGGGGGGGGGAGCTGGCAAATTTGAAGTGGGCCACATACTGGAAAGAATTCCTTGCATAACACCTAATAAGGTTCATTATATGACTTATGCAATCCTGATTCGGCCTATGTTTCTCTCATATTGCACTTATGGCTGTGACCAAAACAAACAAACAAAAAGGGTTGAGGATGGCTGCTCTGAATCATTTCATTATGCTGTGTTAGGGTACTTCAGCTTTGTGTGTGTCAGTTCTTCTCTGGAGCCTGGCCCATGGACTCGACCCTTCACTCCTCTTCCAAGGTGGTGGTGTGGTCAATGAGAACAGATGGACAATGTTTAGGTCTTAGTGCACTTCCTGTGACTATTGATGGGATATAAGTCTACTGCTACATGAATATAAATATTAGAGGAACTTAGACATAGTAACTTAGTTTATAGTAACTTAAACATAGAATATTTAATGTATTGATCAATTCAAGATGTCATGTCATCTTGGGTCACCTCACCAGGAAAAGGTTGGCATAGAAATCATTGAAACAAACAAACAGATGACATATTATCCAAAGCCTTTTTTGTATTTTGTAAATAATGGTCATCTCCTGTCCCAAAATAACCACCAGGAACCAGAAGCACATGTCCTGGCATGCAGAAACACACAAAAAGCTGTCTGATAGGCTGATTTCTCTGGTCCCTCCTTCCAGTTACCTGCTTGCTAGCAGGAGGAGGTCTTAGTCATAACTGATCACAATGTGTCAGCAATGATGGGAATGACCTATGGAAGATGCATAGCTGCATGTTGCCTGGTCAGCTGTTTTATACAGCTAATTAGTAAGCAGGATTACTGAATTCATGTTACCGCCACTATTTACTTGCATTTTTCCTAAAGTGTAGCTATAATATGGCTACAAAGTGTTCCATTTTTTAAAAAAGTACACCACACCCAAAGAGTTTTTCATGTAAGGGCAGCAAAGAAACCATTTCCAGTTGACTCTGCAGTTCATAAGATAGTAACTGAGAGCTAAATGTGCTTTTTTGATAACTTGTGCTAATTATAAACTTCCTGAAGAATCCATACCATTAGGCAGAAGGAAATGATATCTGGAATAGACTCAGAAAGACTGGCCTTCTATTCCCCTGACATTTTTCTTTGGGAGATACAGAAATTTTTTTGAACCATCTGCCATGTCGTTAAAGCAAAACAGATATACGGCGAATTTGTAGAGAATCCCCCAAAAGGTGTGTGTTTAAAACAGATTTTTCTGTAAACATTTGCTTATTTCTACATAAAAATCATGGAGGAGAGGAAATGTCAAAGGTGCCCTTGTCAGTTTGCTATCAGCGTCAAATGTGTTATTTTTAAGAACCTCTGAGAGGATGAAGAAGAAAGTTCAGCTCTTAATAAGGATACAGGTGACAGAAAGATAAAAAGTTGTTAGCAGGGTGTTTGAAATGACATTTAGGATTTCCCGACGACCCAAGGAAATACAATATTTAACTCCTTCAAAAATCCTAGCTTATTTATTAAAAACCAATCCTACCTTCAGGACTGAAGCTGCGCACAATGTTGGATATGGGGCTGGAAGATTTGTCCTTGGTATATCTGTTATACAGATCAATCATGACTTGGGGCGGTTCCTCTTTCGTCTTCTCTTGTGAAGGTATTTCTGATAAGTTCAGGTTTCTCAGGAAATCAGCTTTCAGGTTCTCTAAGAAAGCCTTGAAGTGGAAATGGGCCTCTTCCTCTGGAATTCCAAGATCTCCAGAATATCTGTGAGAGTTTTTCATTGCCCCTAAGCTCTCCTGGTTGTCAACAGGTTTGCCACTTGTCAAATGAATGATAATGATTTCCGTAACAACCCAGGTGCCCAAATAATACATTTTTAATCTATTCGGTATTCCAGGAGGAAAAAGCCAACGGTGATCCAGGAGAGTAGGCTTCTTGGATGATTAGATTCTGAAGAGCAAGCAATGAATATCAAAGGCCAACCACTTTCTGAAGCTGTATTGCAGCCGTGTTTTTTCCAGCCCCAGCCCCTTGTGAATCCTCAAGCAGATTGGTCATACACTTGCCCTTATCACAGCCATTGATGCTACATTTCAGGCTGTTATCTGTTAAAGCTCTTCACTAATGAAGATTCTATAAACATCAGACAAGCACATGGCATCCAGGAAAGAATCTATGTCCCTTTGGGGGATGGGCTGTTTGTCATTGTTGCCTAATTATGCTTCTTTATCATTTCCGTAACAACAATATGTATTTCAAGATGCTGGGGGGGGGGAGTGGTTCGGGTGGTGGTATAAAATGTCTTGTTCCCACAGCATATGAAACTAAATGTGGAAGAATACAGCACCGTCCTATCTGTTCTAAAGTTCTTTTACAGACTATTCAAAAGGCTCTTCAGGAGGAGATTCCTTATGGCAGGATACAATCTCATTACTATGAAGGAATGTCAGCTTCTGCCCATTGTGGTAGGAAAAAACATGTGTGTGCACAGGTGGGAGTGTGTGTGTGTGTACACAGAGACATACACAGAGTCATAGGCAAGCATTCACACACACATATATTCACTCTGCTGTTGGTAAAGAGGAATGAAGGAATGGCTGGGGACCCTGAAGATGAAGTGTCCGGATGCTTTTGTGAATGAGCAGCTGCCTACAGCTTCTGAATATTCTAATTTACCAGCCAAATGTTATTTGTACACAGACTGCGTGTTTCTTTACCACTAATTGGCATGGCTCTCATTTTCAGTTTTGGTAGACTTCATAGAAATATTTGGGTTTTGTTTGTTTGTTTGTTTGTTCATTCATTTTATTAGACTTCTACTCTGCCCATCTAGACCAAAGGTCCACACTGGGTGGCATTACAAATTTTAAAAACAGTTAGACCAATAAACATATACTATAAATCCAAGATGGCAAAAATGTAGAATTTAAGATACTGTAGGAGGGAAAGCCTGCCCAAATAACCAGGTCTTAACTTTACTCCTGAAGACACCCAGAGAGGGAGCCAGGTGG